GATTGCAGACACTTTCGCTGGATCGGTTGCTATGCCACTCTCAGTTACAATATGACCCAAAAACTTGACGGTTTTTCTCAAGAAATAGCACTTCTTTTGTGCCAGTTTCAGGTTATGCTCTTTAAGCCTGGAAAACACCATCTCAAGGCGATCAAGCGCTTCCTTCTCAGTTTTGCCGAAGACGAGTAGATCATCTAAGTAGCAAAGAAGCGAAAGGAAGTTCTGATCTCCAAAGATAGACGTCATCATCCGTGAGAATGTTGCTGGGCTGTTACATAAACCTTGAGCCATGCGATTATATTCATAGAGCCCCACTGGAGTTGTACATGCAGTATATTTTCGATCATCCTCATGGATTGGAATGTTATAGAACCCCGATGTTAGGTCCATGGTGCTAAAATAACTATTTCCTCCTAATGAGGCAAGGGCATCAGCTTGATGGGGTAAAGGATATGCATCCTTCTCTGTCCTTTGGTTGAGCCATCTAAAGTCTGTACATATCCTTAGCTCTCCAGAGGGTTTCCAGACTAAGACTAGGGGTGACGCCCATTCACTGTTTGACTTTTGGATGATACCACGCTCCTCCATCTCATCCAAAGTTTTTCTCAATTTTTGATAATGGGTGGGTGGAACCCTTCTGTAAGGCAGTCGAAAAGGCTTCTCATCTTTGAGTCGTATCCGATGAACAGTGTTCTTTACTTCACCACAATCTAGCTTGTCACGAGAGAAGGTACTTTCATACTGAACTATAAGATCAGCCAGCTCTCCTTTCCAGTAATCACTTACTTCACAGGATTCAATGTCAATTTCTGTCAGCCCCAAATCTCTCAGCTTGACTTCATAGTCAGACTGCGGCTTGCCTTTCTCGTTTAGCTCATTAACTTGGACAACATTCTGCTGAACTCCTTCCTTCTGGTATTCTGTACCTTTTTCAGCAAGGTCTAGTTCCTCTAGCGCGAGGCATGGGTGCACGTTAGCAATTTTAGTATTGCGGCGCAAAACAATAGGGCGGTCAATCATATTGATCACTTTCATAGGAATCCACTTATCACCCCAGAGAGGGCAAACACTGCGAGCTACCATAACATTTCTTGGTGCAGAACGGGAAGTGGAAGGTTCGAGCATTACAGTGCTTCCAACAGACAAGGGAACTTCTTCCTTTAACCTTCCCCAAACCAAATGTTCTTGCTGTGGCTCTAGTGTAAGGCATTGTCTCAATACTACTGTGCCAACTCTCTGTGGTATCTTATCTCCATGCCATCGGTCAACATTAGAAAGCACATTCAGCAGATGTTCTTGACCATTATCTTGGACTGGTTGAGATAAGCTCTTCCAGTACCACTCGGTTTTCTTCATCTGCCGAGTCACGTGCCTGATGACATTCGATCCAACGATCATTTCATCTTTTTGACCAGGGACAACTAGAAAGTTGATTGTCATTTTGCAGTCAAGCATATCCACACTCAACTCGTATGTGCACTTTGGTTTTGTTTCATTCCCTCCACAGCCTGTAAGTACTTTTTTGGTGGGTTTACTCGAATCTGTGTAGATCAAGTTCCAATCTTTCAGTGTGCGTTCAGCTGCTTCACTCAATGTACAGGTAACGGATCCACTATCAACAAGGGCTAATAGTTTCACTTTCCCCTCAACCAATACTGGAGCATAAAACAAATCATCTTCATCATTAATTCTCTGGTAGACAGCTTTTGGGGCCTCATATGGAGTCTTTTGCTGAACTGTAGTTACTTCAATTAAACTGTTTTGACTTAAGTGGACGTCATTGGTAGTTACATGAACAGCTAATTGGTTTTCTGGGGTCTTTGCTTGGCTGACACCCACACTGTCCCCCCCACAGTGCAGGTTTTCTAGTTTAAATGGTGTTCAGGTCTGGTGCTTACGCTGGCTGTGACTCGTTTTACTTGTCTTTTGTCAGGGCATTCAAACCCTCTGTGGCCTGACTTGAAACACCTAAAACACAGTCCCTCCTTGAAACAGTGAGTCTTTGTCGTATGGTCTTGAGCCCTACATATTTTGCAGGGGACTGCAGAGCTTTCAGGCATGACCTTGTCCTGTTCCGTTTTCTGTTCTTGCCCCTTCTGTTTGACAAGGAACTGCTCGAGAAGAGAAACTACTCGCCCTAGGAGAACAGAATCTGAACTGCTTGCTTGATTACCTGCGGTGGACTGCTGTTGGGTCATACACCAAGCATTAGGTGAGGTTTCATCAATCCTTCTCTCTCTATCTACTCTTGTAGACTGCTTGTCTCTGTGGTGACTGTCAATTAATGCTTGAATTTCATGTGCGTTCCAGCTTTCCAATGGTTTACTCCGAAGGGCAGTGTACAGACCAGGCTCGGGACAATGCCTTACAAACATCATTGTCACTTCATGACTAGGGTCTTCAACTCTTTTCCCTTGTCTTTTTAGGCATTCATCAGCAAGGTCAACAGCCTTATTCAGTCTGATCCAATAATCCAAGCCACTCTCTGACTGCTTTGGCAAAGTCTCATAAAAGTCTCTTAAAGGTGTTGTAGAGAAGATTGCATCTCCAAAATGTTGCCTCAGAATTGAAAAGATGATATGCGGGTCTCTAGCCACATCAATCAAGGGATTGTTGCGAATACATGTCCTCACAACATCTTTGGCATGGCCCATTAGCTTGTCGAGAATCTCTTGGCCCTGTTCAGATGCACTAAAGCCCTTCTTGTTCAAGTAAGCTTGCATCAGTTCTTGCCATTCACTAATGGTGCATCGATCTGTCTTATCACCTCTAAAGGTAGGAGGTTCTTTGATGTCTTGATGCCTAACAATTAGGTTCAAATTTGATAGATCAGGAATCTGAGGTGAAGGCTGTTGGGCATTAACATAATCTCGCTGGGTATTTGGCCCTGCAGATCTCAGGTTTGCAGAAATTTGGTTCCCTATTTCACTACCCAGTTGTTTCATTAAATCTGCCATTGTTTGCCACTGACTCACTTGTTCTCCCACTGGGGAGTTGTGTAGTCTTTCCCCATTAGGCATAGTTGAGTCACTACTCATACCTTGCACAGTTGGGCTACTAGTTGGGGGACATACAGGAGGAGCTAGACGTACTGGAGTGGCTACCATGTTTTGTTCTAGCATACTATTTAACTGGGCCCCCCTCCCCAGTCCAGTAGAGAACCTCTGCGAGCTTAAAACACTACCCCTTACACAAATAGGTGTCACCATTGCAGGATTAACAACTGCATCTGACATGTTTTCTTGTGTTCTGTTGTGTGTAAAACCGTAACTGTCCATGTTTAAGTCACACTGCTTATCTGCCACGAAAGTTCTGTTGACTGGTGATGTTGATGACTTGTCCCGGTGATCTGCGATGGCTGATCCCTTTATCCGGGTCACGGCACCAATTTGTAGCGGACCTCGTCTCACACCACAAAGAACTCAACGACACCACTGGCTTCGGTGGACCACGTCTGCAGTTTATTGAAAGAGGACAGAAAATCAACACACGCCTTCAGTGTTTACTCTCTCTCAGCTCGCTCTCTCTAGTCACAGGCTGTTCTCAGATCATTTTATACAATAAAGTTTTGTATTACAACAATTTTGTCTCTCATTTATGAAAATTCACTTTCACACAAAACATATTAAAGAAATAAAATTAAATTGGGTACACATTTTTACATTAATATTATAGCCAATATGTCTCAATTTCTTAGATCGTATAGTGGTTTTTTTTTCCTTATTCAAAACAATTTCACATACCTGCAGTTTATTGAAAGAGGACAGAAAATCAACACACGCCTTCAGTGTTTACTCTCTCTCAGCTGAAGGATGTATGAGAAAAGACATGTTAAACACTGTCCCCTCTAACTGCAATTCATATAATTTCCTAGTAACACATAAGGCTATAAACATAAATTTTAACATCCAGAAGAAAGCTACACACATTTAACATACTAAACAACATATCTACAAACTCAATCCACCGAAATTAATTGTGAAGAAAATTATTAACACTAGAAAACCTGCACTCTAATATGGCGCGCAGGCGGAAACATTAAACAAACACGTGCGTTTGTAATACTACAAAAATACATTAAACCGTGGACAGAAAAACCCTGATATAAACTTGTTCCCGTTTTATGACACTTCTATAATAGATATCAAGGTAAAACTTCACTTAATACAGCATATTTTCGCTCTTAAATAAGGAGCACTGCAGAGACGTACCTCGCTCTCTCTAGTCACAGGCTGTTCTGAGAGAGCAGGCGCGCCGCGCGCGACCAGTCCGTTACCAATGACGTCACTCACTGGCCAAACTCGAAATATTAATTTTAAACAAAAATACAGAGTTTTCTTGTATTGTAGAACAAAATAAAGATTATACTTGTAGTGCACGTAATTGTTTTAAATTGAATTTAACAACTTAATAATTAAACAAAAAGTTTGCTGGAACAGTTACCATGGAAACACAAAACACTACACAAAGACCCGCCCCCCTTACCGTCGCTTTGTCAGACAAGCTACGCCGCTCTCTCTCTCTCTCTCTCTCTCTCACACACACACACAAATCATGTTCTCACACAGTGCAGAGAGGAGACTGACAACACGCTGACAGACAGGAGTCTCAGGACAGTCCAGGTTACTTTCGATATTAAACAAAGTCTCGCCTTTCAAATTTCGTATTTTTTAAAATAAATAAATAAATACCGTTTTGTGGCTCTTTAATGTGTCGTGACTCGTGACAGATGGCAGTAGTAGAGCATCAGTTAAAGCTGCTCGTGATCCGATCATCTCTTCCTTCTGGTTCATTTATAGCATCAAATAAACATGAATGAACATAAGAATGAAAGTTGTTTTAATCGCGGGAAGGCGTCAGTACCGGTCAGTACACTCCCGTTTTTCAAGTTCAAATCCTCCCATGTTAATCTTCTATCTCTCCTGACTGCTTTGGCGGACAATTACCTGTCAATCAAGCTCCACGCGGAGGGTCAATTGTGAGATAAAAAGTTGCAATTATTTTGTTGTTAAAATGTTTTATTCTGTGGCTTCCATAGCCTACAAATATGAATAAATCAGAATCACAAAATCAATTCTGCATGAAAAATAAACTTCTTTCTCTCCATGTTGGTCACACTCGCACTCCTCCACGAGACTGAACCTCTCGACTCGATATCATCACCTCACACTGAAAAAAATAATATGCTTTATCTAATCAATAAAATTGTGGCAACATATCACAAGCAATATTATTAATTAAATTGTACAAATTAGAATTAATTAGAATGTTAATTTGATTAATTATTACTCAATTCTAATTTGTTCAATTTAATAAATAATATTGCTTGTAATCTGTTGCCACAATTTTATTGATTAGATAAAGCATATTCATTTTTACAGTGCAGGCCCGTGGCGTCGCAGGGCTTCACTTGGTCTGGTGTCTCTGCCGGGATCTCTGAACTATATTCATGCTGTTATTGTTTCCGATCTGAACTCCAAACACGTTGGACATGCTGATGCGGACGCCTGCAAGAGAAGCAGAAGAACGAGCGAGTGAGTATAGCTTTCAGTTCCTGATTATACTGAGGTTTCACCATCAACACAGACCATTGCTAATTATGCTCCATTTATGCAGTTTATTCACTTAAAAGTAGCATCAATCAATCAATCAAAATTCGTACTTGGAATTAATCAATTTATTTTAAATATTGATCACATAAATGAACATTATATTGACAGGCCAAATTAAATTAATCATTTTAATAAACCATTTTTAATAAACAAATTGGAATATCTGCATTAAAATCTGCATACACTCTTAGAAGAAAAGGTTCTACTTAGAACCTTAAAAGGTTCTATCAGCGCTACGTATTTGGAACCCCCTAAAAGGTTCTATACACTCTTAAAAAAGGGTTCTATATAAGAACCCTGGGGTTCCACACTTGGCCAAAAAAAAAAAATGGTTCTATATAGAACCATTTATGAGTTCCATATATGGAACCATTTCTGGTTCTAAATAGAACCATTTCTTCTAAGAGTGTAATAATGAGAAATCCTGAGAACTGCAGCATGTGTCAAGTGGCGTTACACTTTCTCCAGAAATATTGCAGCAGATGAGTAAACAAACTGACCTGGTGTGGACGTCTGACGCTGTAAGAAACAAACACACAACACACACACGTGAGACGTCAGTCGCATCAATGATAGTTCGTTAGTTTGATTGGTGTGGTTTCAGACCTGGGGTGTTCTGGGAGGCGTCGGAGGCACACTGGGACGAGCAAACAAGTCTACAACACACACACACATGCATTCAGCAACACACTAATCATGCTAATCATCACAATGCATTGTTGATTTTGGTCCACATTACCTCTGTGTCCGGGGTTTGTGTCGCCGGCTCCCGTTTCCTGAGGACAGAGACAGCGTTTGCGATTACTCTCATTTATCTCTTGCTTTCCCACTGAGAACGGAGGGACGCAGCGAAGCGAGAAAGCTCATCTTCGTTTACCGAGAACTGGTTAATGTTGATATAGTGTAACATTGATAAAACAAAATTAATAACTTAAATATTAATAAGAATTTAATCAAATAATTTATTATATATTTTTTTAAATAATTTATTATATATTATATATATTATATTTAATAAATAATTGAATGTAAAATTTGATAAGAAATGATCAAATTTATTTATGTATATTTTTATAACCGTGACATTTCTTACGTGGTTCGGTATAAATAACTGGTGTGTGTTTCCATGAAATTAAATTACATGGGGAAGCCAGATTTTTAAATCTACAACAATATAAAATAATAAAACATAATATAACAATGTAAATATATAATATTCTATAAAATAATATCATATAACATAACACAACACCTGTTTGGGAAGCGGTCCAGTAACGCAAGACGAAACCTGACGACGTTCTTCTGAAAGACACGAAGAAGAAGAACGAACATTGATGAACTGTAAGTGTCTTCGGATAAAAGTGTGTGTTGAACACACAGATGTGGACGTAACAAACCGTTGTGTGTGTTATGGGAGAGCTGGACTGGTTTCAGACTGGAACTGACGTCACCTTCCTGATCACACACACACACACACACACACACAAACATGAGTATTTGCAATTGCACACACACACAGATGAACATAAGAGCCAGATCTAGAGTAACCACGAGCAGTTCAGATCATACACACGTTTGACACTTAATGATAAACCTCAAACTCCGGCCTTCAAGCGTGTTAACAAAAGAGACCATTCAAATTTATAAATGACTATATTTAGATTTAGTTATTTATTTTATTTTTAGAGCTTGATACGCCTCCACTTGGGAGAAGCAAGCAATCTGCAACCAATTTAAATAGAAATATAAACCAATGAAAGTGACTGTGAGTGAAGTGTGTGTGTGTGTGTGTGTGTGTCTGCACCAGGAGTTTGAGGACGTCTCGGACGGCGTCACTGATCCCGCGCTGGTGCATCTCGAAGATCTTCTCCGTCACATTCACACAGTCTGAAAACACACACACCCCAGTAAACTAACACACCAAACAATCTACCATAAAAATAATTAATAATACATTTCATTTGTATTATAAAAAAATATATATATTTTTATTTACATAACATTAAATAAATCATTTGATTAAATTAATATATTTGATTAAACATTTTTAAAAACATGAAATTTGGTTTAAATAAATACATTTGATGCAACTAAATCAATGAATAAAACTTGATTTGAATTACAGTAAACAAAGATGTAAAGATAATAGATAAATAACAAGATTAATTGAATAAATAAATTTGATTATAATAATAATTCATTTTATTTAAATAAATAATAAAATTAATATAACAGGAAATGAAAATAAAAATTTGATGAATAAATAAAAGAGAAGGAGTGTAAAAATATGAAAAAAAATTACTGCTTAACTAATTTAATTAATAAAATCAAAATAAATTAAATTTGATTCAAACAAATAAATCATTGAAAAATAAATAAATACAAATGTTTGATTAAAGTAAACACATTTCAAATGATTATAACAAATAAATAAAATGTTTATTTAAATAAATTATTAATCAATGCAAAAACAATAAAGTTTTTATGCATTTATTTGAGTAGAATATAAACTGATTTAAAAAAATGCAAGTTCATTTAAATAAAACTAAATAAATCAATATTACTTGATTTTAATACAAAAGAAAAAATAGTGTAAAAATAAAAAACACACTAAATAATACAACTAAATAAGTTCATAAATTAATAAATATAAATAAAATTGTATTTAAATAATAAATACATATTTGACATCTAAAAGACCAAAAAAAAATAAATAAATAACAAATAAATAATAATGAATTAATACACTTGATTAAAATAAATGAAAAAGGATTAATACACTGTAATCTAAATAAATATGATACAACTAAACACTTCATTTAAATGAAAAAGAAAAGCAGTGTAAATAAAACACTACTGAAGTAGATGAGTGAACGGGCGTAAGCGTGTACCGAGGAAGGCCGGCCTGCGGCGCGCGTCCTGGTCCCAGCAGCTCCTCATGAGCGACACCAGTTCTCCCAGTCCCTCCGCCTCGCTGGGGTCGATCAGGCTCAGGTCCGGCCGGTCGCCCTGGGGGATGCGGAACCGCACCAGACTGGACATCGCGCCTGGACACACACACACAGATGAAGACACTGCTGTGTGTGTGTGTGTGTGTGTGTGTGTGTGTGTGTGTGTGTGTGTGATGCTCACCGCCGTACGGCTCCTTCCCAGTGATGATTGACCACAGCAGGACACCGTAACTGGAGAACAAACATTCACAAAACACACTTTACATTCAGTCATGATACTAGTGCTTGCTCAGAAAACACTCCATCTGACTTCTGATTGGCTGGCGTGGGTTTGGTGGGCGGGGTTTCAGCGAGGTTGGCGTAAACAAAGCTTAATCTTCTAGTTTTTTCCCCCTCTTTATTATTGTAAAGTGTTACTGCAATAGTAATAATCAAAGATGTAATAATAAAAAAAGGAAATGATCTAGTAGAGATGGTGAGGTTGATGAAAGATTAAAGTGAGATGAGAGAAAAAAATATATACATGTATATAAATTGAAAATATATATATATATATATATGCACATAAATTGCAATATATATACGTATATATATATATATACACATATACACATTTACACACATTGCAAAAAGAACAAAAAAGATGTATATAAAGGGTGTGTGTGTGTGTGTGTTACCTGTACACATCGGAGGCTGTGCTGGGCTTGTAGTTGACGGACTGCAGTGCTTCAGGAGGCATGTAGATCAACGTTCCTCCCTCGTCCTCCTCTCGCTCTCTCGAAACCCTCGACACGCTGCGAGCCACTCGGGACAAGCCGAAGTCTGTGATCTGCAGACGACACACCGCGTTACACACCGCAGTACACACATCATTACACACCGCGTTACACACCGCCACACCACGGTACACACAGCATTACACACAGCGTTTAAACACAGCGTTACACACAGCGTCACACAAAGCGTTACACACCGCGTTACACACAGCGTTACACACAGCGTTACACCCCGCCAGAATCGTCTGAGGCTAGTCCTGGTGACGAGGATACTGAACCTGCCCACAGAAGCACTCGTTTACATACTCATTACACTTAAACTCAGCATTCTGCACTAAATTAGAAACGAGCGCTGAAATAAACGTGCGTGAGAAAATTTGTTCAGTCATAGGTTTGACTTTATCTCATAATCATGACTTTATGCATATAAAATCATGAGGAAAATATAGCTGCAAGCAGCCATTACCGGGGCCAAGCGCAATAAGCGGCAACATATGCCAAAATGGCAAGGAGTGGCAGACCAACTGCAGCAAGGAGCAATTAAGGGCATTTTGAGCGAACTTTGGGCAAATGGCATAGGAAAATCACATAAACATTAACTTATAAGATGATTTAATGGATTATCACTTTCGAACAATAGGTGGCGCAGTTACGAAATAGATGTGATGTGGTCAGAGTGAGGTGACAATGACACATACAAAGTTTGGTGTCAAAATGTGAAGGCATTGCAGAGATAAAGCCTAAATAGTCATTTTGGCAGCATGCCTCAAATTTGATGCTGTGGTATACGAAAACGGTTTTGTCTATCGTCACGCAATCCATATCTTTTATTCGGCACCGTCTGGAGATGATACGATTCAATTTTCGTGAAAATCGGACAAACGGTCTAGGAGGAGTTCGAAAAAGAAGGTTTTTCAAAGAAATAAAGATGGCGGACAGGAAGTTTGGCTGATTATGCAAAACCATATATCTATGTTTTCAGCATAACCCAAGGAATCAATTAAGATCAGTTTCATTGCAATAGGCACATTTTTTTTCAAACGTTATTAGCGTTTTCAGAAATTAATTATGACTTTTGACCAACAGGTGGTGCTGTCTCAAAATCTTTTGAGTACCTTCAGGGCATGCTGCTTATGGCACACACTGAGTTTTGTAATATTACACCAATGCATTTGTTTAGCATAGCATTTTATTTCACAAAACTCTATTGAAGTCAATGGGAATTTCACGTTTTGTTCTATTATAGCGCCACCAAGAGGCTCAGTCCCACAATATTTTTTATGTGTCCTCAGAGTGACCCCATACATATGTGTGTCAATTTTGGTGCAAATATCTCAATTTACTTCCGAGTTATAAACATTTATATGAAAAAACACGTAAAAAATGACTGACACATGACTTTGTTTGAATTTTACTACCCCTTACTATCAATATTTACGCATTTGGGCATTAGCGTGTAGTTAACAAGCTATGATTCCGTGTTTCTGGCGGTGGTTTCGTCTCGATCGGAACAGCGGTTTTGAAGATATCGCCAAGTGTTTTTTTCGCGCTAAATCGCTGCGCTACGCCATCCGTGAGACGAAACCCGACATATTTGGTATCGTTGGACTCGGCAACGATTCAGGACCTCAAAAATATGACTCCCGTGAAAATAAGTGTACCACACCCAAAGTTATAAGCGTTTGAATAAAACAATTCACCACTAGGTGGCGCTGTTTCGAAACTTCTCAGGCTCCTTCAGGGCATCGTACTGATGACCCATACCGAGTTTCGTAACAATTCGTTCATGCGTTCAAAAAATACAGCATTTTAGCACATAATTCAAAATGGCCGACAGCCAAAATGGCCGATCTGGGAAAATTGGATATCGGTCGACTCGGCATGATGCCCTGAATCTAACGAGATGAAGTTTATGATTTTTGGACAAACCGTTCAGAAGTTACGAGCAAAAATAGCCATTTTTCATATCTCCGGACCACTAGGTGGCACTGCGCCGAAACGCAGCACGTAGCCTCAGGTCATGCTTGTGATGACACGTACCAAGTTTGGTCTGAAAACGAGTAAGCGTTGCGGAGATACAACCATACGTCTGTTTTCGCAAGCGCTACGTAAATTTTGTTTACGCGTTAATCGAAAACGGTTATTCGAATCATCTTGAATTCCATAACTTTTTGTCAGCACTGCCTGGAGATGATCCGGTGCGATTTTGGTGAAAATCGGACAAACCGTCTAGGACGAGTTCGCAAAAGTAGGTTTTTTGGAAAATTCAAAATGGCGGCCGTTTTTTTATGACGGAAAATGACGTCATAGGGTGCGATCGAATCGGCATGAGCTCAGGAACAAGAGGAAAAAAGAATTTTGTTGATAGGCCTTACGGTTCAAAAGTTATTAGCATAATAAAAGTGAAACTTTGGACAGTTGGTGGCGCTAGAGGGAATGAGTTAGAGACACCAAAATTGGTGTATTTAAAGTTGGGACTGTCCTCTATCAGAATGTCAAACCAAAACAACTTTCCCGCAAACCGGTCTATGGGCTGCCATAGACGCCCAGTCGGAAGAAGAATAATAATAATAAATATAGCTGCAAGCAGCCATTACCGGGGCCAAGCGCAAGAAGCGGCAACATATGCCAAAATGGCAAGGAGTGGCAGACCAACTGCAGCAAGGAGCAATTAAGGGCATTTTGAGAGAACTTTGGGCAAATGGCTAAAAAAATCACATAAACATTAACTTATAAGATGATTTAATGGGTTATCACTTTCGAACAATAGGTGGCGCAGTTACGAAATAGATGTGATGTGGTCAGAGGGAGGTGACAATGACACATGCAAAGTTTGGTGTCAAAATGTGAAGGCATTGCAGAGATAAAGCCTAAATAGTAATTTTGGCAGCATGCCTAAACTTTGATGCTGTGGTATACGAAAACGGTTTTGTCTATCATCGTGCAATTCATAACTTTTAGTCGGCACGGTCTGGAGATGATGCGATTAAATTTTCGTGAAAATCGGACAAACGGTCTAGGAGGAGTTCGAAAAAGAAGGCTTTTCAAAGAAATAAAGATGGCGGACAGGAAGTTTGGCTGATTATGCAAAACCTGATATCTATGTTTTCGGCATAACCCAAGGAATCTATTAAGATCAGTTTCATTGCAATAGGCAAATTTATTCAAAAGTTATTAGCGTTCTCAGAAATTAATTATAACTTTTGACCAACAGGTGGCGCTGTCTCAAAATCTTTTGAGTACCTTCAGGGCATGCTGCTTATGGCACATACTGAGTTTCGTAATGTTAGACCAAAGCATTTGTTTAGTATAGCATTGTATTTCACAAAACTGTATTGAAGTCAATGGGAATTTCACGTTTTGTTCTATTATAGCGCCACCAAGAGGCTCAGTCCCACAATATTTTTTATGTGTCCTCAGAGTGACCCCATACATATGTGTGTCAATTTTGGTGCAAATATCTCAATTTACTTCCGAGTTATAAACATTTATATGAAAAAACACGTAAAAAATGACTGACACATGACTTTGTTTGAATTTTACTACCCCTTACTATCAATATTTACGCATTTGGGCATTAGCGTGTAGTTAACAAGCTATGATTCCGTGTTTCTGGCGGTGGTTTCGTCTCGATCGGAACAGCGGTTTTGAAGATATCGCCAAGTGTTTTTTTCGCGCTAAATCGCTGCGCTACGCCATCCGTGAGACGAAACCCGACATATTTGGTATCGTTGGACTCGGCAACGATTCAGGACCTCAAAAATATGACTCCCGTGAAAATAAGTGTACCACACCCAAAGTTATAAGCGTTTGAATAAAACAATTCACCACTAGGTGGCGCTGTTTCGAAACTTCTCAGGCTCCTTCAGGGCATCGTACTGATGACCCATACCGAGTTTCGTAACAATTCGTTCATGCGTTCAAAAAATACAGCATTTTAGCACATAATTCAAAATGGCCGACAGCCAAAATGGCCGATCTGGGAAAATTGGATATCGGTCGACTCGGCATGACGCCCTGAATCTAACGAGACCAAGTTTTTGATTTTTGGAGAAATCGTTCAGAAGTTACGAGCAAAAATAGCCATTTTTCATATCTCCGGACCACTAGGTGGCGCTGCGCCGAAACGCAGCACGTAGCCTCAGGTCATGCTTGTGATAACACGTACCAAGTTTGGTGTGAAAACGAGTAAGCGTTGCGGAGATACAACCTCACGTCTGTTTTCGCAAGCGCTACGTAAATTTTGTTTACGCGTTTATCGAAAACGGTTATTCGAATCATCTTGAATTCCATAACTTTTTGTCAGCACTGCCTGGAGATGATCCGGTGCGATTTTGGTGAAAATCGGACAAACCGTCTAGGACGAGTTCGCAAAAGTAGGTTTTTTGGAAAATTCAAAATGGCGGCCGTTTTTTTATGACGGAAAATGACGTCATAGGGTGCGATCGAATCGGCATGAGCTCAGGAACAAGAGGAAAAAAGAATTTTGTTGATAGGCCTTACGGTTCAAAAGTTATTAGCATAATAAAAGTGCAACTTTGGACAGTTGGTGGCGCTAGAGGGAATGAGTTAGAGACACCAAAATTGGTGTATTTAAAGTTGGGACTGTCCTCTATCAGAATGTCAAACCAAAACAACTTTCCCGCAAACCGGTCTATGGGCTGCCATAGACGCCCAGTCGGAAGAAGAATAATAATAATAATAATAATAATAAGAACCGGCACAGATACAATAGGTGCCTCCGCACCTTCGGTGCTTGGCCCCTAAATACTCAATATCAAGATGAATTATGCAAATGTCATAATTTCATCTTTATGCAATTTCGACTTTTTTTCTCATAATTGTGACTTTTCATCTCATATTTTGTACTTTTTTAGTCAAAAATGTAGTTTGACTTCAATACCGATATACATATAATCAAATGTTGCTAGCGGCGTGGACTGGCCTTGGCGTCGAGGCTGTGGTTGAGGAGCACGTTGCTGGGCTTCAGGTCGAGGTGCAGTAGTGGAGGACTCAGGTGATGGAGGAAGTTCATGCCCAGGCCGACCTGATGAGCCATGCGGAAGCCCAGGGGCCACGGCGGGGGCCCGGCCAGCGTCTGCAGGAGCCCGGACACCGAGCCCCTGACCATGAACTCCATCACCAGCCCGGACTGCAGCGGGAACCCGGACTGCCCCAGCCGGCCCTCGTACAGGCCGAAGATGCGCATCACGTTGGGGTTCCCTCCCTGGAACATCAGCTCTGCTTCCCTCAGGATGGAGGACGTGGACCTGCACAGGAGTCAACGACAACACACACTCATCTCCACGATCACAGACATGTTCAGAGTGTGTTTCCATAGAGCGCTAAAAATTTGACTTTTTATCTCAAAATTCATATCATAATTTCGACGTTTTATGTCATAATTGACTTTTAAGACAAAAAATTGTTCTGCATAAATACTGATATATTATTATACTATATCAATGTTAATTGTGCATTTTCATAGAGACCTGAAATAAATGTGATTCATCAAATTTGTTCAGTCATAAGCTTGACTTACCTCATAATAATTACTTAATGTCATAATTTCATATTTATCTCATAATTACTTAGTATGCCATAACACACTTGCTATCTCAACATGTATTTTCATAGAGCACTGAAATAAATGTTGACGTCATAATTTCACTTTAAGTCAAAAAAAAATTCTTCTGCATAAATACTGATATATCATTATATATTTTTCCACATACTAATAATCAGAAAAATAAATGAGTTGACATTGTAAAACATAGAACACAATTAATCTTTACAATATTAATAGGGTTATCCCGTTATTAGCATGTAACAGTAAATGTATGGTAATGTAAATGGTAACCAGGATCCAGTTCTTGCCAAACTGTGGTCATGTGACCAGTAGCGGATGTTGCTCCATACGGGGCATGTTGTCACAGACTAGAAAAGCTCTGAAAACAGCAGTGGGATCTACTTTACCCGTCTTTATAAAGCAGCAGCTTTATCGCCACATCCATGACCCATCCTGTGTGTTTGGCCCGGTAAATCTGACCGAATCCCCCGCAACCGATCTTCACGAAACCCTGCAGACAGTCGTCACAAAGTACTTCCGGTCTGCGGCAGAACTGACCGGCATCCATCGATAATCGATATACAGTTAAACAGCCTTAAAGCTTAAACATGTCATGATAGGTTTGTGTCCATCGCTGTTTTCTCCAAGTTCCCTGTTGAATGGCGACGATTCCAGTTCACATCGTGAAGTTCGTTTGTTTCACTTCCCCCATCACACACACACTGTGCCACACCAGAGTCTCTGGCCACACACACACACAGAGGGACGCGTACGTGCGCGCGCGATAAAGACTGACGTCACCTCACCTGTCCGTTTCCGAAACCTGAGAGGAAAACACAAATTATGCTTCGGTCAGTCGTAATTATGTCATAAAAAGTAGACATTTAAAGGTAAGTCATTATTGTGATATAAAAAGTTGATAAAATCGAAACTTTCATAATTCGTAGGCTAATACAAAATAGTCACAATAGGAGATAAAATGTCCAAGTGAACTGGGATAAAAAGTAAATCATAATTTCGACATTTAAAGTCTTAATTATACTTTTTAAGTCATAATTTTGACTTTTTATGTCATAGTAGCATTTTTTTCCCCTTACATTTCTTTAGTTTACATTGGCTAGTACAGTATCCTGGTTAAAGCCATTCTCAGTAGTAGCTAACTTTCAAGTTATGGTCTGGCAAAGCTTCATAGACAAATCATTTTCAAAGGGGTATACCATTTCCTCTGCGCCGCAATTCACTTTATGCACAGCTGCACTACTTCCTTAACTACAGCCTGCTCCTTTGTTTCCTGTCTGCCATTATTGGACAAACTGATTAATCCAGGCGTGTCTGATTATTGTTGTGACTACTGAGATCAGGCACACCTGGATTAATCAGTTTGTCCAATAATGGCAGACAGGAAACAAAGGAGCAGGCTGTAGTTAAGGTAGTAGTGCAGCTGTGCATAAAGCCTATTGGATAGAACTAAAACCAATCAGACATATATCTAGCATGTTAGATATCCAGAGCTGTCGCACGACTCAACTGGTGTCATGAGCTACAGCCAATCAGCAGGGCATGGGTTGAGGTCACCAAGTAAATCATATTTTTTCTTTTTCTGCATTTTTTCTCAGAGAAAATCATTGCGCAAACAGTTTGCAGCACTAGTTTCTGTCTGACGTACATATTCGCGTGTTGTGTTCTTCGTCTTCTTCACTGGGTATTGGCGCGCGTGCTTCGTCATTTCCAGTCATTTCCGTTTTATCGCGTGATTTTTCGTGACAAAATGTGGTTTGTAGACAAGATAGAATCGTTGGGTGATCTCCTGTTGCGGATCAATCATGTTGGGTCGTGTGGTGTGAACAGCTCAACAACTTTTCTGATGCTAACTTGCAGAGAAAATCTAAATTTGACGAAAGTTGTCTGGGTTTTCCAGGCTATCTGGCTAGTACATCGATTTCCAATCACCACCGTTTCGGCATTCACTTTGAATATTTCTTTATCAAATTAAAAATAGTAGGCCTAAATTTTACAGAACGTAGATGTGTTATTTATTTATTTTTTAAAACTACACATGACTTTTTTTCTTCTATTTTTTGTTTAGTTATTTCTTCAATAAATATATATATATATATAAAACATGACTTTTCTTTTGAAATAATGGGGATATTTTTGCCTTGTTTAACCTTTGTTTTTTTAATGTTGTGGTCATCCTAAAATCTGGTGTATTAGCTCGTTCCTCAATAAACGTATTTATTATTAAATTAATAAATAAAAAAGGATCTCATTTTTGATATAAGTCAAAAAGGAAATGTAAAAAAATATTAAAGCCCATATATTGAGCTCAAACACAACTTTAATCAGGGTTGGTTGATGACCCCATATGGATGACCCTGTTTGGGTTTTACCTTCGACTGCTTTTGACTTACCGGAAGTGAGTTTACGTCAGTGGAAATTCCCACAAGATGTGTCTGTGTCTGAAAGAAGACACGATGAAGTCTGCGATGAGATATAGTTCATGTGTTTTTCACTCGTTTTCACTTACGACGTTATATGAGGTGTTTCAGTTCAACCGTCGTATGTTTGACGCCAGTAGATGTCCGTGACCGAACAAAAGCGCGACGATTCGATTCCCGACGCGCGTCCTTTGCGTCAGTTACGGTAGTCTCATGATCGCAAACTTTCCCTTTAGTTTCATTTCGACAACAATCACCATCACCAGTCATCCTGAATGTGGACAAACGACTCTCTCTTAAGCTCTGGGTGATTCATGAAACAAAAGCCCTTTATAGTTTATAGATCTAGATTGAATTCGGAGTGTGTTCATAGTTCAGATCGCGAGCGCTTCACAAAAACGACGAGAAAAGACGCAGTTTAAAGTTATAAGCGATTATGGTAAGAACTGTCCTTCAGTCCTACCTTACACATAAACATCCTTGTGTTTCTGTTTGTCAAGGCTGTCATGTGTTTCTGCTTTAGTCTAACGAATCGGTTTCAGTCATTATTCGCTTTAGGACAATATTATGATGCAACCAGTTGAACTTTAATCTATCGACCGATGTTTGAGTGTCGCATGAATATTAAAGACTACCCTATCTGAATATCAAAATTTGAGATTTACTGATCTACATTGTTTCTCTGGGAAATAGTTATTTATGACGTTGTTTATTATGTTGAATGTCAAAGTTTTGTTAATGGGGGATTTGTGGACTAAGATTTAACTTATAGTTTTTGTTTTGAGTTGAAAATATAAAATTAGACATGTTTTGACAGTTTAATAACCAAGGAATCCCAGTAAAAATATCAAGGTACATTTAGTCTATGACTTATACAGCCACACACACATCAGTTTTGAGGCCCCGAGTGGCATGCTGTAACTGTTGTGTAGTAGTCTACTTATTGTAAATTAGCTGCTCGTAAATTTGAGTGAATATTTTATTGTATTTGAATTTATAGTGTTGTATAATGAATGACTTATTTGAGTTAAATATGTAAATATATTAAGTCATAGAATAAATTTACCTTTCAGATGATCTCTCTCTTTTTTCTGGCATTCTGCTTTCGTTGTCTGTCATCAGTTATTCAATTACTCAACTAAATTGTCAAAATTTTACATACACAGACACAAACACACACATATATGTTTATTTTTATCATATATATTGACAAACGTTTATGTTAGATGCAATTTCTTTGTATTAATCATATACCACATTATTAGTATATTACATTATTGCATTGCATTTTAGAGACTTTTCAGTTCTACCATGGTCTATAATCCTGTAGTGTTTGGCCTTACGGTGCTAACTGTGCAGATGTAGAAAGGCCTTCACAAGCTGAACTCTGCCTTCTGATTCGCTGACACTGTACCTCATCTCTCCGTCAGTGAGTGGATCATGGCTGTCTCAGGCCCGGCTCTGGAGGAGTGTGTGTCGCGTGAGTGTGTGCGGGACGAGTTCACCTGTGCGGGTGTGCTGGGGGGGGCCCTGCGGGCACTGAGGCCCTCGGTGGAGCGAGTGTTCGGGGTCGCGCTGGCCATCGGCACCGAAGACTCGGCTCGGAGCGGCCTCATCTGGCTCCAGCTGAGCGGGGCGGCACCGGACGTGGAGGCGGCAAAGGTGCACAAAACACTGCCATGTTTATGACTATTATCGCTATTGTGTGAATTGCTGAGCTTGTATGTTATAATGCGACTCTTAGATTTTCGTGAAAGGTGTGGTCAATCAGGAAGCCCAAAAAGAGGTCCAGTTTCCCGAGGTGCTTCACTGTGTGTTCTGTGGTGCCAAAGGGCTGTTCATGGACTGCCTGACTAAAAACACCTCTGCACATATAGTGGTAGGTGGAAATATCATGCCCTCCAATGCATCAGTGTTTTGTCTTACTGTCCCGAGAAAAATCAAAACATCCTTGAAACAAGATAAATGGAGACAAGATGAAAGTTAACTGCAAAACTAAATAAGACTGCACAACTTAGGCAACCTTGAGTGTCCAGAAAGGCGCCAAATAAATAAAATGTATTATTATTATTATTATTATTATTAACTATAATGTACTGGACGATATCTTGAAAAAAACACGAGAGTGGCGTTTTATTTAAATTTATTTAAATTAAATTTAAGGCAAGTTTCTGTGCATGGAAATTATGCAATTGCAAAACAAGTTGTTACAAGTTGGGCCTGTACCATGATGGTAATTGAACAAACTCAGGGTTGCAGGACTAGTTTCGAGTTGACAAAACCAAACCAAACCAATCCAACCAGGCTTTGTTGGTACCATGATGCTGATCATCAACTTTCTCTGTCAACTCAGGCTTTGATCCTGAGTTTAGGAGTGACATCAGTAGCGAACAGCCAATCACATGCTGAGAAAGAGTGAAACTCATTCAAAACTCATTGAAATTAATTTCTCGCGAGAGAAGCAGCGCAATTCACGTATTAAATAAAAGTATTAAAATATTAAGAATTTTTAAACAAATTTATTTACACAGCAAGAAGAAAATAGCAACTAAAAGAAAGTCTCGCTACTGTATATCAGGGCAAGAAAAAGTTGTGAAGTTAGTTTATACAGTTGATAAAGGTAGAGAGAATTGAACATTTAAGCTCACATGTAGTCATTTTATAGCTTCATTAGCGTATTATATTGCCTTTATATACGTATTCATTTAAAATCTGCGTAAGAATAATTGATGAACTTAAATTAGATTGTTTTAGGATATAATAATTACAGAAATAATTTCTAAATCATACAAATTTATTCACTAAAAGCCATGATTTTGTCTTTTAAAATTATTTGCCGTGGAGTGACTTTATCGTGTCATACATGTGTCACTTTGCTCACAGCTGATTGGTCCAAGTTCGGTTTGCAACCTCTTACCTGGAACATAACCTGCCCCGGACCAGGTTAGCCGTGGAGCGCAAGTTACTATGACGATGAACACTGCTAAAAGCCAAACCACTTTCATGGTACCTAAAACCCAGGGTTGGCACAAACTAAACTGAAACATATCGGGCTAGCCGCCTAAACCGGCTACATGGGAAGTAACTGTAACTAAATCAGTGATAGTCATGAATCAGAAGTCAAAATATATCATTTGCAGAATTAAACGCCAAGGTTGCGAAATAAAATGCAAGATAAAGTTTACCTGAGATGATCCCGGTTCTGTTTGCAGCTGGGATCCCAGGGCTGTCTACTCATCACCGGACTGGCAGAACCTGTGGCGAAAGCCTACTCGTTTATCACAGACCTGGTGGAGAAGTACAGGAGCAGCCAGGGACGGCGTGCCGAGACCGGGACCGGGGTCGCGGGAGAATCCCTGGAGTCACGTCGGGCCTTCAAGTCCCTAGTTGAGAATCTGGAGGACCGGCACGCCCTCGACCTGCTGGTGTTACCGGTGATGGTGAAGGAGGCTCTGCTGGACCAGGTGAAGCAGTCTGGATTGGACTCGAAAGCAAAGCGGCACCAGGAAGGTCTAATCCCATTGGAAGCCAATGGATCATTACGCGTTTATGATCATAAAGCAGATAACTCACATTCTGCTTATGACAGGATTAACGCCACGGATGATTTCAGAAATGAATTCCACACTCCGTTTCCCAGAGGCCTTACCCTCGACTCCCCGGAGTCTCCAGAACCCGAATCCGAGACTCCTGCTGTTCCGTCGTCCGCGAGAAACCAAGAGGAGTTCGAGCACCTTCTCAAGTTCTTCAGCGCCATGGGATTCACCGAAGAGGTTGTGCGCGGCGTTCTGGCCCGAACCGGCCCTAAAGAAGCCTCGCAGCTTCTGGATTTGATTCAACAGGAGCACGACAAAACCAACCAGCGGAACAATAACGACAATGCGGTTAGCGAAACGCACGAGGCCATTGAAGTAGGAGAGGAGAATGCTGAAGAGGAAGACTTCGTGTTGGGGGTGTTGAAGAAGGCGGCGGCCACTTGTGGATACACCGAGGACAGAGTAATGGAAGCGTTTGGCAGTCTACCCGAGCTCAAGCCACACGAGCTGCTCATGCAACTGCAGAAACAAGAGGTCGCCGAACACGCGATTGGGACGAAAAATGGTGGAAAGCAAGCTGATAGGACGATTGATACATATCCAATGGCAGATTTTGAAAAAGTCGATTCTGGGAGCGGAAACCGAGCGACAAAGCTAAGCATGTCCAAACCGGTAAGCGTTCCCTCAGTGAGAGGCCCGCCTCAGACTACATACGCCTTCGAAACCATGGACCCGCCGGCACGATCGCCTCCACGGAGGATCAAACCAAGCATAGATCTCGGATCCCCAAATCTCCCCAATCACGTCATCGCGCCCAAACCGAGAGCGTCGGAAGCGTCTGTGGTCACGGGACCCCAGCGGTTCCTCGAGAGCCTGAAGACGCCATTCAAACTGCAGCTGTCGGACGAGCCTGGCGACCCCATGCTGCGTCAGGTCATCATCGACGGCAGCAATGTTGCAATGAGGTAGGCTATTTTTTTAACAAATAAAATCATTTAGTTCAGTTAAAGAAAAGACACTAGAATTAAAAACTGAATGGTATGTGCTTAAAGGAGTAGTTCACTTTTCAAAATACTTTAGCTGATAATTTACTCGCCCCCATGTCATCCAAGATGTCCATGTCATTCTTTCTTCAGTCGAAAAGAAATGAAGGTTTTTGATGAAAACATTCCAGGATTTTCTCCATATAATGGACTTCAATGGGGTCTAAACGGTTCAAGGTCCAAAAGACAGTTTCAGTGCAAACTGTTCAAAGGGCTTTAAGACGATGAATAAGGGTCTTATCAAGCGAAACGATCACTAATTTAATAAATAAATAACAAAGTTTAAGTTTTATAAGCTCAAATGCTCGCCTTGCTCCGTTCTGTGATGCGCGTTCGTGACTCTCCTGTTCGAACTCGTTCATCAAAATGAACGAATCTTTTTCCGAGTCATTTGGTTCATTCAACGAACGAATTGACTCGTGTGTGTTGTGTTTTTGTGCTGACTGACTTAATAATAATTGATCGAATGTACAAAACAATTTACATAAAATAAAATGCATTCCTCTAGTTAGGTTAGAAAAATTCCATTAGTTAAATCTAATTGGATGTATGCATTGTATTTTATGTTAAATTCTTAATTTAATCTATAATTATTCATAAAAATAATTAATTTCCCCCTTTTATCCCTTAAAACTCACCTTTGATCACCAAAATGACATTTTCATGCCTTAAAATATCTTGAATGTAACTCGACACCCGTGCCTCATTTAGCATGTGCGGTTCTATGAATATTCAAATGAGCCCCACCTCCACTCACTGGTTGACGATCACACGTTGATCTGATTGGTTACAATGTCGTTTGTGTTTTTGACTTTGGTTCACTGCAGGATAATTCAGTAGGACCTCAATGCAGTACATGAGATGGAGTCGGATCACGATCCAAGGGGTGGAGATGGGTAGGATTAGGGTTGGGTTTAGGGACCAGGGGGCGGAGTTGGTTAGGTTTAGGTGTATGTAAGGTGGGAGGAGTTGGATCTGGATCCGACTCCTCCCCATGGATTTCATGTTCCGCAGTGAGGACCATCTCGGATAATTTGGGTATTTGGTTGACTTTGGAAATACTCAGCAATGCTGTCCACTTATGACTTATGTTTAAAGATGAGATTTAAGGGATCAAATTATTAAATAGAGGCCAGGGGGACATGCATATTGATGTATTCGTACTGGAAAAACAGAGGATGAACACAGCGCTTTTACAGTGACGAGATGACATTATTGATAAGCTAATTCTGAGCAGCTTCTGGAGTGAATGCTTCAGTGTTTACATGAACTAGAGCAGCGAAACAGTGTGTATGTGATGTGATGCTCCACAGTCACGGGCTGGGGGTGTTCTTCTCCTGTCGAGGCATCGCTCTGGCCGTCCAGCACTTCTGGGCGAGAGGACATCGAGAAATCACCGTGTTCATCCCTCAGTGGAGGCAGAAGAACAACTCCAAGAACAAAGGTGATGCTCACTTCATGCCTTATTGACATCTCACACCAAGAACGATAACTATAAGGTCAACTATTCGTCTCTTGAGACAAAACGCCCTTTTCTATTCCACTGCACTTCTTAGTTCACCCAAAAATGAAAATTCTGTCAGTATTTACTCACCCTCATGTTGTTTCAACCCCGTAAGACCTTCGTTCATCTTCGCAACACAAATTAAGATATTTAAGATATTAAGATCGCTCCTGCATACTAGTCCATTGGCTTCTTGAGGGAACGACTCGAAAAGTCATTAAAGACATCGTTAAAATAGTCCAAGTGACTACAGCGGCTCAATCTTAACTTTATCAAACGACGAGAACACTTTTTGTGCGCAAAAAACAAACAAAAATAACGACTTTATTTCAACTATTCACTTCCTTCTCCATGGGCCTGTAGTCAGTTGACGTAGTGTGATTGCGTAAAGCTACGTCACACGAAGGCTCACTATTGGCCGACGCTGGTCATGTGTGTGATGATGCGTGTGACGTACAATAACAGAAGCTTACGCTATTAAACTAGTAACCTGACTCGCGCAGAGGGAGAAATAAACCAATAGTTGAAATAAAGTCGTTATTTTTGTTGTTTTTTGCTCTCGTCGTTTGATAAAGTTAAGATTGAGCCGCTGTAGTCACTTGGACTATTTTAACGATGTCTTTAATGACGTTTCGATGCCAGCAAGAGTCATTCCCTCAAGAAGCCTATGGACTAGTATGCAGGAGCGATCTTAATATCTTAAATATCTTAATTTGTGTTGCGAAGATGATCGAAGGTCTTACGGGGTTGGAACAACATGAGGGTGAGTAAATATTGACAGAATTTTCATTTTTGGGTGAACTAACACTTTAACGTGCTAAGGTGATTCTACTTTTGTCGCCTGTCACTTTAAATGCACGAGCGCTTCAAAGTCAGGTGGATTCTGATTGGCTGTCAATATTTGTATTGTCCATCATCAAGTAGGAATCGACCAGGGGTGTGTGATTCGCTTGTGTTTGGAGCGACAGATCTCGACCTGCGCTTAGAAGAAGAGTTTGTGGACTCAAACCCTGATCTTGAGGAAATAAGCAATATCAGTACAATCCGTCTTTTACTTAGAATATTTACGTCTTTTAGTTTGTCGAGAAATGTAAATCGTAGTTTTTGAAGAGTGCGCATGTGTGAACGAGCGCTAGTGCGTAAGAACGAGCAAAATAACCGAGAAAAATTAGAAACAGTCCTCAGGCGCCTCAAACTGATTAATTAAAAGTAGTTGATTTCTATGATAGTTAAGCGGCGAGTTACGGCAGTCTCCAGCGATATTGTTCCTCTATGCCTTTATCGTTATAGTTGTGGCGTGGACTTCCCTGTTCTCAAAGAGTTAGAATGACCTATAAAACATTAAAGTTACTATTAATGCTTGGAGAAACGAAGCTTTTGAATCATTAATGATCCAGCGCCACCTGCTGGTCATGCAAGGAAAACCCAAACATGAAACAAGCCAATTTAAGATGTTTTAATGAAAGTGTCTACATGATTATATGCAGATTGGTGTTATGAAGCAGTGCTGGGTCTTTTATTATGTAGTGTGCTCTGTGTTTCCTGTAGAAAAGCATTACCTGACTGACCTGCATGATCTGGGCTTCGTCAAATACACTCCCTCCAGAGAGGTCGAGGGCAAGAGAATCAACTCATACGACGACCGGTAACTCTCACACCAACTGGTTTTTGGAAATTATGGTTCAATGTTGTTCAAAATTTGTGTTAGTTATACAGAATGACAGGAAATGAGTAAACGATGGTAATGCTTTATTCTCAGAAAGATCTTTGTAATATTATCTGACCATTTAGTTTTATCATCAGAATTTAAGTTCTTGTGTTTTTCTTGTCATGATTTCCATCCTTTAAGGAGACCTGACATATTTAGGTCTTCATTTAAAATATCCATGCATGTGGATAAAAATCTATTTTATATATATATTTATATATATTTTATTTTACCGTGTCTGGTCCTCATTTCTAGTAAGCAAGAGTCCAACAAACAGTCAATAAATCAGCAGTTACGAGTCCTTCACCGGTACAGATCTCCTACAGCACAGCATGGCATGTAGCTTAGCTTAGCTTAGCGGTCAGAAACTGTGTGCACCTTCCCTCCAGCAACACGTCACCTGAAGGAAGGTTCCTACCTATATTCTATATTCAGCAATTACCTAAAAGAGAGACCCCTGCTGGACACACACTTACATGAGGTTTCAATAAATACACTTACACAGTTTTAACAGATTTCTACTCTCAAAAATTTTTTTGATTTTATTTTAATTTAAATAATACAATCAGCTTAAATCTGTTCATTGTAAAACAATTAGATGTTTTTATGAATATGGTTAAAATATGACTAGCTGTGAAACAAGCGATATTCATATTGAAGTTGACTGGATTTATTGATGATAAATGTATAAACCTTTAAAACGTTCAGTTTATTAGTATTATTACAGAAATATGACCTGTGCATAAATATAAAAAAATGCGTATATGTATGATTGAGTTTTTTATTTTATTATATTAATTTTCAGACTATGTTCGACGGAGGCGTATTGCATTCACTTGAAGGAAAAAAAATCTGCTCTGTTTTTCTGAATTAATGAGTTAATTTTTCATGAGAAAAAAAAAATTTTGCTCTGTTTTTCTGAATTAACGAGTTAATTTTTAATGGGATTTTTTTTTTTTTGCTCTGTTTTTCTGAATTAATGAGTTAATTCAGAAAAACAGCAAAAATAAATTTTCTCATGAAAAATTAACTCATTAATTCAGAAAAACAGAGCAAATTTTTTTTTCTCAAGAAAAACTAACTCATTAATTCAGAAAAAGCAAAAATAAATTTTCTCATGAAAAATTAACTCATTAATTCAGAAAAACAGAGCAAATTTTTTTTTCTCATGAAAAATTAACTGATTAATTCAGAAAAACAGAGCAAAAACTTTTTTTCTCATGAAAAATTAACTCATTAATTCAGAAAAACAGAGTAGATTTTTTTTCTTCAAGTGAATGCAATACGCCTCCGTTAAAGTTCATACTTTTTAACTTGATTTTAATTGTTTTCACAGTAATTTATACTGATAATGAATGCATTTTGAAAATTATTTAAATAAAATAAAAGCAAATTGAAATCTGATCAGTTTCAGTTCTGTGCAATTAATTTAATTAGTTTATGTAAAGTTTATATGCAATTCAAGCACACAGATCTTAAACGTTTATGAGTGTGTGTGTGTGTGTGAGTGATTCCTCCAGATAACGAGTGCTTGTTCTGCAGATTCATGCTGGCGCTGGCGCAGGAGACGAACGGGGTGATCGTGACGAACGACAACCTGAGGGATCTCGTGGACGAGTCGCCCGCGTGGAGAGACATCATCAAGAAGAGGTGACCTTACACTCACTCACCGTCAGTTTCCCTGGCATGATATATGAGTAACGTGTGGTATTACAGACAGAAGGATATTTCTGAAACACTCACATGTAAAGAGTTATCCTGCTGAAAGTGTCCCGTTATAATATTATCAAGACTCCAGTTTATGTTTATGAGTCGCTTACAACAGGTTCACATTCATCCGAGGTCAAAAAACGCTTCGTTTGAAGATTCAGTCTCTCTAAGCCCCGCCTCTCTCTGATTGGTCAGAAAGCAAACGCTCATTATCATATCTGAGTCACAGTGATACGAACACAAACTCTTCCAGTCTCAGATACACTTGAGTTTGAGGGCGGAGCTAAGAGACGCTGCTCAGCCAATCAGGTGACTTTATGCAAATTAAAGTGAAACTTTATTTTACATTGTCCTTGTTATGTGTAACAGTAAATTATGCGTAATTTCCGCGGGGTCTTAAAAAGTCTAAAATTTCTAAATCACAATTTAAGGCCTTAAAAAGTCTTAAAAGTCTTCTAGGTCTTAAATCATTTTAAACAGGTCTTAATTTTCCAGGTCTTAAATGAAATGCTCCCGCAGCGCTTTGGAATATTTTTTTATTTATTTATTCTGTGGTTGTATTTTTTTTATTTTGCTTGTTCAAATATAATTCGCTGTATTATGACTACAAAAACATGCAACAGCCAATCAGTTTTGAGGTTTTGTGTTATTGGCGCGTATCTCAGATACCACAGACAGACATAAAAGGATTATATTCAGCTATGGGGATTGGGGAAGTGGAAGTTTAGCGATTCTTGGCTTAAAAATCAGAATTTTGGATCAGATTTTGCTGATTTTTGGATCAGAACCGACACTAAAAGTGGAGGTGCTCTGGGTTCTCCACGCGGTTTCGAACGATGTTTCCGGACTCTGACAACGCTAAATCCTTCAGTTGCGGGAAAGATAAAACGGACTGCATTATGTGCTTTGGAATAGGGGATTTTATAAAAACAGAAACAGAACTAATTACCGTTTGTGCTGATTTTCGACGAATGTTCAGTTTGAATAAATTAAATTACTTTGCGAATAATTTTGAGACTATTTTCGTTATATAGGTCTTAAATTACATTCATAATGGTCTTAAAAAGTCTTAAATTTGACTTTGTGGAACCTGCAGAAACCCTGAATTACATGCAACTAAATCCTCCTTTAACTCTATATAGTAAGTGCATGTTTTCACTCAAGTGTAACAATGACACATTAACCCTTGTGCATCCTGATGGACATTTTTGACCTTTTCAGTTTTGTTTTTTTGATCACTTTGCCTGTGTTAAAGCTAACTGCAAAAAACTTGGCACAGGTGTGTATCTTTATAGTAATTTTACTTTTTCACCGTCATTTTCTTTAAAAAAAACATTTTTTGCATTAGGTACAAAAAATACTCCCTCTCAGCACCTTTTGGACAAAAATGTCCCCATTGAAAACTGCCATTTTTAATCCCCGGTTCAGCTAACTATAAAATTATGCAATCTTTGTTAAGAGGCTTTCATTCTGATGGACTATTTTTTATCAGATGGTGTCATTTTTTTTAAAGTTTGGCCTATAAAATAAATATCGCTTTATTCCTGTTTTCTGGTTATCCAGCCAACTGGATAAATTATGCAATGATATTTGTGTGGGTGTGTTGGTATGGATGTCAGAGTGTGGTTAGTATGTGTGTTATAAAATATGTGTGTGTTCAAATCACTGTGAGCTCCAGTGGGGTTTTGCTGCCACCCAATGGGGAAAATATGTCACTGCGCCCAAACAAACTGTTACCCAAAGCTCATTTATTGAGATATCATCCTCAACCTATTTAGATTTATGGCTTTGATTTTATTGCAGTTTTGAGTTCAACCTGATTTATAAAATATATATTTTATATAAAATAATTTTCATAAACTTAAACCTATATAACTTTTTTTTGGGATTTACTTATTATTATTTTTTTTCCTTCAGCAATAATCTGCAAAGGGTCTTCTTTAAAAATTATACCAAACTTAAGTCTGTGCTCCGAAGCGTCACATTTTTATGACATGCACATTTTTTACCTATGTGTAACTTTTTTTAATTGATGCACAAGTGTAACCCAAATTAGTGCTTCAGGTTCAGCAGGACCGAATTACTGCCGACTCGTTTCAGAGTCACCTCTTTCTTTTAGGAGACCGCTGTTAGTGTTATTCTGACCAGTGCCGCTTGTGTCTCAGTCTGCTCCAGTACGTGTTTGCTGGAGATCTCTTCATGTTGCCCGATGATCCCCTGGGCCGAGGCGGACCGCACCTCAGAGACTTCCTGCACAAACACCACCGGTAATGATCACTCGACCCAGAGTCTGTTCGTCTACAGTAAAACAGTCAAATATCACTCCAGTGTAAATCATCTGTAAAGTGTAATTTATTCCTGTGATCAAAGCTGAATTTATCATCATTACTCCAGTCTTCAGTGTCACATGACCCTTCAGAAATCACTCTAATATGAAGATCTGATGCTCAAAAAACACTTATGATTATTATCATAGTTGAAAACGGTTCATATTTCCGTGGAAACTGTGATATATCGTAATTTCAGGATTGTTTGATAAACAGAAAGTTCAGTCCTCTTGTGAATGTGTCCTGTGTTCCTGGCAGCCACACGTTTGCAGGATCGTCCTTCCCCGCTGCGCCACCCGCGCCCCGCGCTCACACCGAGCTCCTGCAGTACCGGGACCGGACCCCAGGGGGCAGAGGTCAGGAGGTCAGCGAGAGGTCGGTGGAGGAGACGCTGGCGCTGCAGCAGAGTCTGCTCCCCATCTTCCCCGGCCAGGAGAGCGTGATCGTCATGATCCTGCAGTGTCACCCGACGCTCCGAGACCTGGAGCGCATCACACACCTCGTGCTGGAGCAGCAGGACTAACACTAGCAGCGCCTCACAGTGGACCGGAGGAAACCCGACACTCATCTCAATCAGAGCTCACACACTCGGGACCGTTTTTAAACTGTGCTTGTGCTTTTAGGAGACGTTTACAATGTGTGCAACACTTTACAATGAGCTACGGAATTAACAAACTTTTAAAATTAACAAACAAACATACGGAAATGTAGTTAAAGCACTGAACAAACGAGATGCATGCTTTAGAAATGCAAGGCAAGGCAAGTTTATTTATATAGCACATTTCATACACAGTGGCAATTCAAAGTGCTTTACATGGAAGAAATTAAAGAAGTCAGAATCATTAAAACAAAAAAAAATCGTAATAATAAAAATAAAATACAGTGTCGAAAATAAAATGTACAGTAACAGTCGGACAAACAGTGGCACAGTGCTCATTCAGTAAATGCAATCAATATAAATTAAAACAGTTAAGAGTAAAAATAAAATAAAGTAATACCCCTATCTGAGATGGAAGAGATTGAGCTGGTTTACGGTGCACTGCAGACTAATGTTCACAAATACTTCCACAGCGCTTATTAATCTTAGTTAATGTTCAGTTAAACATTATTAAAATCAAAAAATTTATTTTTTAACATTAGTTAATGCACTGAACAAACAATGAACTATTATATAAGACACGATAAATGCTTTAGAAATATTACAAACAAGTCAGCTTTATTTATATAGCACTTTTCACAATACAGATTCTATCAAAGCTTTACAGAGATAACAGGAGAATGACACAGCAAAGTTTATTTCTAGAGGAATATATCGTCATCGTTGACCTGTCCCCAATTACAATCATAAAGACATAAAGTGCTTATTATAAAGTGTTGCTGTTATTTGAAATGTTGTTGATGAATATTTATTTTCTCATGTTTCTTTCTTAAGTCAGATCAGAGTTTATTTTTTAAATGTGTTCTTTCGGGGACTGCGGGTGTAATTGACCAATGAATGCATGTTTACATTTTGTATTTTTATACGGATGTTCATTAACATGCAATGTCCCTAATTAATAAATACTTAAAACGGGTTGTCAGTGAGTTTGTGTGACAGGTTATCTACATCAGACCAACAGCAATCCTACGGCTAGTCATCTTATATTTATAATTATGCGCTGGATGATGAGTTCACTTTTGAAAAAACTTTTGCTGATAATTTACTCGCCCCCATGTCGTCCAAGATGTCCATGTCTTTCTTTCTTCAGTCGAAAAAGAAATTAAGGTTTTTGATGAAAACATTCCAGGATTTTCTCCATATAATGGACTTCAATGGGGTCCAAACGGTTCAAGGTCGTAAAGACAGTTAATAACAGTTTCAGATGCAGCTTTAAATGTCTTTAAACGACACCAGACGATGAATAAGGGTCTTATCATGCGAAACGATCGGTTATTTCAAAACTTATGAAGATGTTTTCATGAAAGTGTCTACATCATAGATATCATATAGAGACTAGATCCCCTATTGGCCGCTGGAAAACGAGAAATCCGGCCGCCATCTTGAACCGGTCGTATTCCTAGTTTTGTTGCGTGGCAGCAGATAAGATGCCAGAGCACTGTGGAGCATTTTCCTGTTCTAATCGCCGGACCACCGAAAATAGGGCTTTTCACAAGTAAGTCTTAACATTACCGTACTATTGGTTGTATTTTGTGAATAATCGAGAAGGAGCAAGGATATTTGCTATTACTGTACTGAAATCGTTGTGAAATGCTGTTTACTGCATCAGCCGGTGTTCACCCGGCATGGAGAGGTGGGGTAACTGTTAAAGTAATAATTACAAAAGCTTCTAGGTTGTCAGATAAGCATTCAACTGCCCTGTTGTATAGGTTATTTGTGTTTGCGCACATCAGGAAGCAACGTAATATACACGCATGACAGCGATGCGCAAATTGAGTTACCTCTCCAACTTTTAGTTTTATTGATAACCTATATCTTACCACATGCGATTTGGCTATTGATATTACAGAAGTCCTGTGGTAAAATTACATTAACTTACTCCATCTACCCTTGTAAAGTTAATCCGAATATGGCTTTAGTCTCGACATTTTCCCCTCCTACATCCATACAATAAAATAAGGTATAGCCTTAATGTTGTCCGAACTTTGTCTGAACTTTGTAATTTTGAGCACTTCTTGTGTGTTTTTTGCCTCTTCACGATGACTCGCTTGGGTTAGTCCTCGGATGTAAGTCGATTTGGATAAATGCGTCTGCTAAATGACTAAATGTAAATGTCAAGTGGAGGCGCAGCTCATTTGCATATTCATGATACTGCTCATACTAAATGAGGCAAGTGTGTTGGGTTACATTCAAGATATTTTTAAGAGATGTTTTCAAGGAAAAAAACTTTTAAATATGTAATTTTGGTGAGTTTTAAATAATCATAGGCTACTGACCCCATACTATATGTGTAGAAGTTAAAAATAAAATGATAGGATTTAGGTCATGTTATATAATGTAAAGATGTTACTATAGTGTCAGTGGGTTTGATCTGGTTGGGATCCTGATGTGATTTGAATGTTATTTTCAATGTAAAACACGAGTGTGTCACAATCAAACACACTATCAAAAGAGCACGACATGCTCATCAAACTCGGAGCAGATCATTGGTCATGAGGAACGCTGTGATCTTTGTGCTGCTGTCAGGTGAGTTTGGAAATTAATTAATAATCAATTAATTCATGTTTCTTACCAAACTTTCAAGTGCTTTCATTCAAGTCAAAAATATTATTTAATATCACACAACAAACCAAAATACATTTATACCAACAAAACTAATCTGTATGGGTTACATCATGTAGAAATATCTCTTTAATTGCTTTTTACAGTCTAAAAGAGCATGTAGCCTAAGTGTTAACAGTTACGAAAATGAAAATAAAAAGCCTCATACTTTACACATTTCTGGCCATTACTATCCTGTAGTATAGACATTTAACATTCACTGTATCAATCGAAATATTTTACACCAACAAAACTAATTTGAATGGGTTAAATCAGGTAAATAGCTCTCCAAGGAAACAACTAGGTATGCTCGATATATCGGTATCGGACAACATATGTTCAGTTTTAATGTTATCGTTATCAGCCCGATAAGAAGATTTGGACGGTACATCAAAGCAGATAATAATGTATTATTTCCTTCTGAGACTCTGTTCAACATGGTGGTTTTGAATTGCTTGAAGTATGATTGGCATCACTTAAAAAAAAAGGAAAATACAGTAATATCGGCTACATAAAAGTATCACGAGAACCTTAAAATTGTCTTTGGGACATGGTGAGACTTTTTGTTTATGTATTCAGGCTCTCAAAATTTATATGAATATTAATATAAACATAAAATCTAGATTTATCTGCAAATATATCGGTTATCAGCTTTCAAATAAAAAGAATTATCGGTATTGACGGTACTTATATGCACAAACATGAACATTCCAATTTGCATTGTAGCTAATACGTAAGGTTTTAATAACTCTTGTTAATGCATTGCTGTTTTTCAAATTTTGCATATCAGCTCTTTCCAGAACGCATGAGATGAGATGTTTGCATGCTTGTTCATAGCGGCCCATAGCGGTCAGTTTGAAATGTGCTGGGGACAGAGACACATTTGCAAGTGCTGGGTACAAACTTGTCAAACTGTGCAGCCTTTCTGCTCAACCCGTAAATAAATGCATCGTTCCGCAAGTATTCGTTTGAGTGTTTCGATGGTCTAGTGGTAGATATTTTGCCAAGAGTGTCAGAGGTTTCGTTTTTATTAGTGTAGGAGCCTAATTTTGCTTTTGTTCAGTGACAATTATTTCATATAATGTGTTGTATTTCAGTATTTTAATATTTGTGTTTTTATTGTAACTTTCTTTCTTTGTGTGTACTAATTAGACAAATATTCTCTATATTTACCTTGAAATTTGGTATGTGTAAAAATTGTACTCTGGCCCTTTAAGAATTGCGACGGGAAGTGAGGGGGTGGTGCGTTCTGTAGAGAAAATACAGTGGAGTCGCACAGTTTTCTTTACCGCATAATCCGTGATATTTTGGATTTAAGATTATATCTGGTTTCTTTTCTTTGTTTTATTTATTAACGAGTTGGATTAAAGGAAGAATTTACATCAAGAAAACGGTGCATGTGAATTATTTTTGTTTTGATTGGACACGGAGCGAGTTGACTGGAATTCTTGCGATGCGCACTCATAATTAGGATCCCATTTAATGGCAGCTAATCTTCCTGGGGAAAATATTCACAACATATAATTATACAAAGCAATAACAACACAAATTACAATCAAAAAATTCAAACATTGCAATTAGATAATATTACCAAGAAAAAGAACATGACACTTTCCAGCTTTCACAAGGTAGGCTAATTTGCAGCAATTCCTGGGTTACTGTCCTCTTAAATTTATATTTGTTCTGAATACTGCATGATGAGACAGAGAGTCGATTCCAAATAGTAAAAGTGATGTGCGTTTCAGAGATTTTGTCCTGGGAAGCGGAAGTTTTAAGTCACCACCACCTAATGCCTGCCTAGTCAGACTGATCTCATGAAGTAGCGTGTGTATGCCACACCCACGCCAATTCGTATTTCCATTTTTGGCGTGCTATCAAGACGCATAATCGCCTTTCAGCGTGTCTATGAACGCCGTTGACTTAACGTTATATAAATATATGACTTACCTCAACCCCGTCCCTAAACCTAACCGTCACTGGGGTTAATGGTATTTATGACTGGAGATTTGACTGCGTGTACAGACACGCGGAATGACGCGGACGTTAATGGCGTAGACGACATACACGCATATACGCGGATACACGCGGATAGCTCAAAATACGTAGAGATAACACGCCACCTGACTCGAAAGTGGCGTGTATGTTTACGCAAAAGTCATGATGTCATGTTGGCCTAGTGGCATTTACTGTAGGTGTCACAAGCTGCTCAGAAAGAAACTGCTGTTTCTTATAAACTGCATTCCACAATATTAAAATGAATCGTTGTTTGATTTTGTCGTCAGCTGTGAGCCAGGAAAGGCGTTTATGCATCAGCACCATGTTAGTGTCAAGACTTAAGTTATGGGTTACGGGTTCTAATCCGCCCTCGGTACAGTTTTTTCTCTCTCTCATCAAAACAGAATATGTCATCAGTGGTTACAGTCTATATCAAGCATGGGACACGTTTATTCTGTGTTATTTTACCGGAATGAATAGATAGAGTCTCCGTATAGCTTGAATTGCGCGTCCGAGTGAAGGCTGCGCGCCACAGAGAACACTGTATCCATGCAACCGACAGCAGCGGCAACAAGCGTTCTACTTGATTTCAAAAACGAAACATTTTAGCGCTAGATCTCTTATTTAAACGAACTAAATTAATGCTCTGCTAGTTAACTGGAGATGTTTTATTGATGTTTAAAACGTTTTGTTTTCCGATGGTAACTCAAGCACTGTCCATCAGTGCTAGCCTGACTTCGTCATACTCATTTTATAATAAGAAAATGAGGGTAACACTTTACAATACGGGTGCACTAATTCATGCTTAACTAATGCACAGATAATCATGAGTTAATGTGTAACTAATGAAGAACTAAACCATTAATTAACGATTACTGCATCAGCAACTAATAAAGAGTCTATATGATTAATAGATTAAGTAATACACGAATTTCTATTAATTCAACGTGCCATTGTGTATTAATTCCTTAATTATATATTTTATTAACTAGTAGTGTAAATTAATGTGTTAATTACCACAATTAGTCAAAGCTATGCACTTCAACTTCCAGTTGTCTGCTTTAATTAATCACTAGCTAATGATTTGCAAAGGTATCATTTTGCTATGACTTTACTTGATGGGGCACATCATTATTAACTAGTCATTTAGTAATTGTAGTAATTCGCACATGAATTTGCAGTAACAATGAAGTAATTAATAATGTATTAATGCATATTAGTGTACCTGTCATCTTATCTGGGAGTTGAAATACAAGGCTTTGGCTCATTCTGGTAATTAATATATTAGTTAACGCTATTAGTTAAAAAAAATGAGTTATTATGGAATTAATCCACAATTACATATTTAATTAATAACAATTCATGTATGAACTAATACATTAACCTTACAGACTCTTAATAAGTTCCTAATGTGGTAATCATTAATGAATAGCTTAAATAATCATTAGTTACACATTAATTCAGTATTATCTGTGCATTAGTGCACCCGTATTGTAAAGTGTTACCAAAATGAGTCTGAGACCGCTCCATTGGGCTTTGATTTTGAGGCGTGTCGTAACCGAACCAGGAAAAAAAACCCTCTGCATTCAATTGGATAGTCGGTAAACCTACAACCAATCAGAGCAACGCAGGAAGTCAACTCCTTTGCATAGCGCAGTTTTCAACTACAGAACTTACTTATTTTAGATTAGAAGTTAAATAACGAGTGTTGCTTCTTTTACTTCTCCATGAGTGCCACCAAAGGAGAAACCACAACGACCTCAGGCTTTTCATTACGTCCCATCTTCTTAACTTAACGACCGTCAGAGCCAGCTAATAAGTTACACTTTTGCCGAATCATGTTGGAAGGACGGCAAAAATATCTTTCTGATCGACAAATGCCTTGATTGCAGATCATCTGTCAACCATCGTATAAAGCCCGCCGTGGCAATTTGATTGGCCCGTTCATTTCTTGCCTGATCATAATTTATCCTCAATGGATCGAGTCCAGACCGAACTTCCCCATCAAAAAATGTTGTGGGCGGAGTTCGGGCTGGCATCCAGGCTACATCAGTGCTTGAGTCACCATAAATCGAAAACATTTGGAATGGGTCAAAAATAATTCTGACTTATTATATTTTTTAAGTGAATTTCATTTTTTATAAATTGTATTTCATTTTAATCAGTGCTTTTAATCAACAAATTGACTGGATTAATTCGACATTTGCAGTAAAAACTTGAAATATAAATTCTCAGAAAATGCATTTAATACCAATATACTGAAACATCTGTTTATACTCCATTAAAGGGTTAGTTCACCCAAAAATGAAAATTCTGTCAGTATTTACTCACCCTCATGTTGTTCCAACCCCGTAAGACCTTCGTTCATCTTCGCAACACAAATTAAGATATTTAAGATATTAAGATCGCTCCTGCATACTAGTCCATAGGCTTCTTGAGGGAATGACTCTTGCTGTCCTCGAAAAGTCATTAAAGACATCGTTAAAATAGTCCAAGTGACTACAGCGGCTCAATTTTAACTTTATCAAACGACGAGAGCAAAAAACAACAAAAATAACGACTTTATTTCAACTATTCACTTCCTTCTCCATGGGCCTGTAGTCAGTTAACGTAGTGTGATTGCGTAAAGCTACGTCACACGTAGGCTCACTATTGGCCGACGCTGGTCATGTGTGTGATGCGTGTGACGTACAATAACAGAAGCTTACGCTATTAAACTAGTAACCTGACTCGCGCAGAGGGAGAAATAAACCAATAGTTGAAATAAAGTCGTTATTTTTGTGTTTTTTTGCGCACAAAAAGTGTTCTCGTCGTTTGATAAAGTTAAGATTGAGCCCCTGTAGTCACTTGGACTATTTTAACGATGTCTTTAATGACTTTTCGATGCCAGCAAGAGTCATTCCCTCAAGAAGCCTATGGACTAGTATGCAGGAGCGATCTTAATATCTTAAATATCTTAATTTGTGTTGCGAAGATGAACGAAGGTCTTACGGGGTTGGAACAACATGAGGGTGAGTAAATACTGACACAAATTAAAGACATCGTTAAAATAGTCCAAGTGACTACAGGGGCTCAATCTTAACTTTATCAAACGACGAGAACACTTTTTGTGCGCTAAAACAAACAAAAATAACGACTTTATTTCAACTATTCACTTCCTTCTCCATGAGCCTGTAGTCAGTTAGCGTAGTGTGATTGCGTAAAGCTACGTCACACGTAGGCTCACTATTGGCCGACGCTGGTCATGTGTGTGATGCGTGTGACGTACAATAACAGAAGCTTACGCTATTAAACTAGTAACCTGACTCGAGGCAGAGGGAGAAATAAACGAATAGTTGAAATAAAGTCGTTATTTTTGTTGTTTTTTTGCTCTCGTCGTTTGATAAAGTTAAGATTGAGCCCCTGTAGTCACTTGGACTATTTTAACGATGTCTTTAATGACTTTTCGAGTCATTCCCTCAAGAAGCCTATGGACCAGTATGCAGGAGCGATCTTAATATCTTAAATATCTTAATTTGTGTTGCGAAGATGAACGAAGGTCTTACGGGGTTGAACAACATGAGGGTGAGTAAATACTGACAGAATTTTCATTTTTGGGTGAACTAACCCTTTAATAAACAATAACGTTACTGTTACATTTTCCCCCCCAAGAACCCCCCCCTCTCTCTCACAAAATAGTTCCCACATCCCTTGTTGTGTTTCAGCACTGACGCCCGTGGCGTTCTCCCAGCTCCATGACTTCATCTTCGTGCCTCTGAAATTGAGCTGGTCCGAGGCTCAGGCCTTCTGCAGAGAGCATTACACTGATCTCGCCACCGTCAGTGACAAGGAGGACAACGACAATCTGTTGAAAGTCATGGCAAACGCAACAAGTTGGATCGGACTCTATCGGACTTCGTCAGCATCTCCTTTAATCTGGTCGGATCAGAGCGGATCCACGTTTTCAGACTGGGCTGCTGGCCAACCCAACAATTACGCTGGTATACAGTGGTGTGTTAAGGTTATTTCTAACAAATGGAACGACCTGGAATGTTGGAAAACGGAATATTTTGTGTGTCATGTCGGTGAGTCGATTAAACATCCTTAACATACACATTTTTTCCCGCCTAGGTACAATATGCACCAAGGCGTATAATGATGACGTATATTCCGCATTAAGCGGATGAGTGAATACGGTGATGTTTTTAACATGACTGTGGTGTGAAGCAGGGCGCGATTGCTAGACGTAACGAGTCCCGCGGATATAAAGGACATTTCATTCTACCGAACTACACGCAAGTGCTGGATTAATACTTTTTAGACAATTTAATTTATTAGACGAATGAAACTTGAGTGAAACTTTCACTTGTTCTAATAGTTAAGCAATCACACTAAACGGCATTTGAGTGTGTTGAATGTCGTTAGTTAGGTTGTGTGTTGGCTGCAGTGAGCTAGATCAATATAAGAACCACATACAGATCATATTCGAACATTTCATCATGTTGAACTAAAATAACATTGATTCGATTTATGTACATTTGCTCACCTGTCTAATAAAGCACATGCAACAAAGTCGAAGTTAGCTCTCGGGATCTCGAAAGATGTTGATCTTCGTTTTAGTCCACTTTTCGTTTCAAAGTCTGCTCCGAAATGTTTAAACAAAACAACAACAGCGTGAGCGTCCTGCTTGGCATAACGGCAATAGCTCAATCTGTCGCCATGGTTACTATCGCAGTGCGTGGAGGGAACCGGGGGAAACGCGGATATGTCGTCATTGACTGGCGACTCCTCACCCCTGCTCACACGCCCCGTTTTCTTGGTTAAAATTGTGATTTTTCTCACGATTTACAAATTGTTGGAAACATTTCGAATATTTTAAGTAATCAACAAAACAAAATATATAACCTATACAACATTATTATTCTATCATTAATAAGAAATTAAGAATTATATCTTTGAATGTTTTTGCAGATGCCTCTCGAATTAGGCTGTGCCGTATGCCGTGTTTTGATTGCATTAGTGTTTTAAAAGTCAATTTTCTTCTGAAAAAAATGCATTTTTTGAGAAAGTGGAGAATTTCCTTTGTCTGCTGCAACTTTTCTTGCTCTTTAAAGGTAACGTGCTTTAAACTTACGATGCGTCGATGACGCTTTGGGAACGTGATTGCGTCTGAAGCACTTATGTCAACTAGTCCAACGGCGAGAGTGAGCGTCATGGGCGGGTGACGTCACGACCAGGATAAAAGCACATCCGGTTTAGAACCACATTAGCTTCAATGCCTCTATGTGAATCTGTCTAAATTTATTGTTGTTTGTCCTCTAACATATTTATTCATATATTAGACAGGAGAATGGCGATAAAACAGCTTTGGATCGTGTGTTCGTCCCTGCCCCCGCTTCATTACAAGTGGGGAGTATTAAGAAGTAAATTGGGCCTGAAGGTGTTCCTTCATAAATTCCCGACGCGTTTCATAATGTACTGTTGAGAGTTTTGGCTTTTCACAATATAGATTGTTGCTCCTTTATTGCTCCTTGTTAGAGCGCCTGACTCTCATGTCGGAGACCCGGGTTCGAGGCTCCCTCGGAGCGGGTCGAGTGGGACCTGGGTGTAGGGGTTACACAAGATCCCTCGACAGGGAACGTCTCAGGTCATGACTGTAACCCTAGTTCCCTGAGAAAGGGAATGAGACGATGCGTCACTTTGCCATACTTCCTACATCCCTGTGATCGACTTGCTTCGGCCTTTTCGACACACAAACCAATTGAGTCACTTTTCAAACAGGCTTTAAAGGGATACTCCACTTTTTTTGGAAATAGGCTCATTTTACAACTCCCTCAGAGTTAAACAGTTGGGTTTTACCGTTTTCGAATCCATTCAGCCGATTTTCTGATATTTAGAAGAATATCGGTAACCACACAGTTTCTGGTCTCATTGACTTCCATAGTAGGAAAAAAAATATATACTACTGTCTGGTTAGTGATATTCTTCTGAATATCAGAAAATCGGCTGAATTGATTCGAAAACGGTAAAACCCAACTGTTCAACTCTGGGGGAGTGGTAAAATGAGCATATTTCCAAAAAAAGTGGAGTATCCCTTTAAAAATCTTTGCTTGAAAACCACTCTCATATAATCACCGCGTAGTGCATGTGTATAACCTGCTAAACTTTGGAAATTTTCTTTCACTTTCATCGCTGCTTGTGTTCCACGACTGGTGAATATTGAGCATCAAACACGATTGTGGATGTTTACAATCAGATATAATGACAAATTCCTAACGATCCATGACAGAACCGTAAAACCTGTTCATCATTGTTCTCAGATTATGCTTGATCGTACATCGTTCGTTATGACTTCATCAGTGTGTTCGTCCCACTGCAGGGAAGAGGAGACAGATCGTGAGACTGGAGGTGAAATCAGGTCAAGATCTGAACGATCCGGAAGTGAAGAAAGAGATTTTAGCGAAGGTGAGTCCTCTTGTAATTCCACTAGGAAAAGACAGCAGAAATATATCATTCAAATGTTCTTCAGATGGAGCAGATCCTGAAGGAGAAGGGGATGTCAGGAGGAGCTCAACTTTCATGGAGAACCCAATCCGATGGGAATGTCTTCCAGACGAAGGACCCGAAGAGTGACGCCCCTAAACAGAAAAGAAACTGTGAACAAGCTTTTATTTAATCATGTTAGTTATTTACTGGGCAAAAAAAGCAGAGGATCTATGCTCTTCTATCTTTCTAAGGGTGTCTTGGTTAACTATTAACTCTTCTGTATTTATTATTCTTTGTTCAGGGTTGTTTAACCCTTATGCTGCATTAGGGACATTTTTGGTCTTTTGCAGTTTAATTTCTTTGACCATTTTGGCTGTTTTAATGCAAATGGTATGAAATTTGGCAAAATTGTGACTTTTTGGATACATGTAAAAAAGGTGATCCCATTTTGCAAAATATGTATAACACACACTGTGTAGATCAAATAGTAACACTCAGCACCATAAAGACCAAAAATGGCCCATTGAAACCCATTAAAACGTTGTTTAAATCTGAGGCTGTCAGTAATACATGAAACATGATTTTTGCACAAACATCCTTTCATTTTGAAGCAAAAGCATTATATTTGCATTATATAGTGTATTCCACCAGATGACGTCACTACATATTTATTCCCTATGGGTGGAAATGCACCTTATTTTAGGCAATAGGCAATGTTTAATAGGTGGCCATTTTTGGTCTCTAACGCGCTTTTTTGCAAAGTGGGACTGTGATAATCCAAATCTAAAGTTTTCTCTTTGCATTTAGTTTATTGAAAATAATTGAATTTTTGTGTTTTTTCCTCTTATACAAATCGATGGTTTCGCAAACAAAACTGGTAATTAAAGGGTTAAAATCCTGAAATTGAATACATTTTTGGTAGTTATGATGAGGACTGATGCTGGTTAAAAGATTTAACTTGGTAAAAGTGGAAAATAATAATAATATATAATATTTTAGGCAATGTTTAATATGTGGCCATTTTTGGTCCTTAATGCACTCAACGGTGTTAAAAATCTAATGCAGCACAAGGGTTAAGTACAAAAGCTAAACTGTTTTAATTATTCCTATTTCTTTTGGTTATTTTTATTTCTTCTACGTCAAGCACTTTGAATTACCATTTTGTATCAAATGTGCTAGTAGTCCACTTTAGACAGTCTGCTAACTAAGTCAACTAACTGTTATTAGAGTATTAGTAGACTGTCTGCTTAATATCTGCTAACACTTTATTTTGTTGGTCTACTGACTGTAAGTAACTTCATAACTATTAGTCAACTTCTTCTACTAACCCGAACCCTACCACCTGACCATAACAAACCAGACTACTAATACTTTAATAATGTTTTTTCCCCATGTTTCATATGAAGAAATACAACATTTTATAAGATAAAACGGGGAACGAAAAGCTGATAATGCGTTTTAATGTAATAAATTATCTGACTTCATTAAAGTTGCTGTTAATTATGAAAGCTTGTTTCCACCACAGAATGAATAATAAAAAGGTAATCAAAATAATTATTAAAAAGTCAGATGTGAGATGTAAACTCACAATTGTGATATTAAAAGTTGAAATTATCTTTTAAAGTCCCTCTGTCAATGATTTCATCCCTTAAAACTCATCTTTGATCACCAAATTTACATATTTAAATGTTTTTTCCTTCATGCCTTTAAATAGCTGTATGTAACTGTACACCCTTGCCTCATTTAGTATGAGTTTTTCTATGAATATGCAAATGAGCCCCGCCTCCACTCACTCACTCAGCTCAGAGATCCACTGGTTGACGATCACACGTTGATCTGATTGGTTACGTGACGTCAGAAACACCAGCGATTTTAAACTGTGTGTTTGAGGCACTGCAGTTTTAAGGAGAAAATACACCATGGCAATGTTGTTGACGTGAATTTTCTCATAAAGCATATTAAAACACCAAACAGACATATTATCAACATTAAAAGCTGGATTTGCAGGCTTTGAACATGAAGTAAATAGTCGTGGTCAGGCTGTGTACACTAGAGGGCACTATATCCACACTTGTTCGGTTAAAAAACAATCTGAAATGGTCAGTAAACGTGGCTCCAAACAAACAGCCTTCAGAGAGCCTTTTAGCCTTAAAACCATCTAGGCTTAGATGTTGTTGCACTACAGGACAAACTTAAGAGAGCAGGGCATTCAGTCAATAAGGAAACATCTCGTTTCATATAATTCAAAACCAGAGAATGTCTAATTGAAGAGAATTGGCACTGGCTGGTTACTTCCGGTTTCTGGACTGGCTGCAGTAACGCGTCTCTGTCCATGCGGGGGCGCTCGCGGTCGAGTGCAGAATGAATGGGAGTCAATGGGGTTTCACCCTCATAAATCCACCTTTCTCAGGATGTAATTTTTTGTCAAGTAATTTGAAAGTTGCATTCAAAAGGGCGGGCTAAGAAAATACACTCACCATGCTTACTGGGGGAAGGAGAATTTGCACTCAAAAGGTGATTAACTCAAAGACACATCCTTCTGTGTGCAAGACATTTCCATAGCCTATTCTTAAACCTTATTACCTTTTCTTTTACTTCTTTGGAAATGAGACATTATTACCAGTCACCCTGAGAAACAGTCCTTAAAGATGATCACATTCACATTAAAAACACATACCCTGCGTCCCAATTCGCATAGGCTATCCGTCCTAAATAGTATTCGAAAATAGAATTAGTACGTCCCAAATCGTAGTATGTTGAAATGAAGGTTTCAAAGATACCCGGATGGTCTACTTTTTCCGGTCAGAAGTGTAGATCGATGCACACTCTAACGGCTGATATTGCCCACAAACCATTGCGCGTTGGACGAGGATTCGGTTAGAACTACAAACACGACTGAAATGTGTTTTAAAAAAAAAACTACAGACACGTAGTCGATACGGAGGACGCGCGAGTCCCCGCGGTTGTGTAGAGAGGTTTAGATAAAGAGCTTTTTGGGTGATTAATTATCACTATCTAACCTGACGAAAATGAATTTATTTAATGTTGTCCACATTATACTGCATTTTGTGAACTTTTGTAAAGGCATGTTTAGCCATTACGTTTTAAATGCATCATTATATTCAAATTGCAAACACACGAGGAGAGCATGAAAGACCCACAACTGGCAGATGAAGGTGCTCTCCGAAACGGTAGGAAATAAAATTAGATAGAATGGAGGATTTTAACTGTGAAAAGATGATTGACAGGGCAGTTTACGGTGATGCACGGAGCACGCGACAGAGCCGTCCGTTAAAGATGACGTGATAGTATGTCCCAAAGCTTGCCTACTCTTTTGCTACACACTCCTCACAAAAAGAGTACATACTTTTAGGGCGTAGTATAAGTAAGCGAATTGGGACGCAGCAATATTCTTGTGTGAGCTTCCTCTGCAAGGGAGTGTGTGTGTGTGTGTGTGTGTGTGTGTGTGTGTGTTGTTCAAGCAAGGTCCTCTGGTCTTCAGAAGACACTGGTCAGACTGATTACATTAACCAGTTCCAGTTTTCCAGTCTTACACCTCTTTGTCACTCAATCTCCTGAAATGCTTTTCTCAGCTCACTTTCATCATTTACAAATCAAATCGAATGTGATACAAAACAGAATGCAAATGTAAAACTTGTGAATACAAGGGCTGACATAAGAAAAAAAATATTACACAATCTGCAAATCTGGAAAATTTGACTAATGCTTTTGAGCCCACTTCAGGCGTGTTTGTTTCGCAAAGTGTGCGTAACCCACGGCGTGGCAAAATGCGCTTTTCGTGTCATACATATGCATTGATGGGAGGGTCATGGGTAAAAGTGGGAGTGTACAGAAATAGCCTATAAGAACGCGCCTCTGTAAAAGCAGGTGTAGCTTCGGAAGCGGATTGGCTCCTAGTGAAATTGCAGCAGTAATCCGAACAAGACGAAGACATGGGCTAAGGAGACGAGCCAAAAAGATTTTTGCCACAAGAATTTACACTTTTTCAGTTGAGTGAAAACAAAATCATTAAGCGTTACGCTACGATTAGTCAGTGCCGTCGTCGGTTTGTCATGTTTGTAGTCGAGCAGCGATATGCCGATATGATTGATATGATCTTTTTCCGTAAAATCCTACCACACTGCCGCAGAGATATTGACCTAAATTAGCATGCTAAATTACTAGCCTAGGCCCGGCAGGTGTTGTAATACCAGTTTCGGCCATGGGAGGCGGTATGTGAGCGGGCAACATAACCACCAGCCAAACTGCAATACACGAGTAACTCGCGCGGCTTGTGCGTACTTGATCCTGATGTCAACCGTGTGGAAATACAGCCCATTAGCTAGTAATGATGATTGGTTCACGTGCGCTAGGTATCTGTCGTGTAACATTTACAAGCGCCAAAACGCTATTTATTGTTTGATTTGCGTAATAAAATTGACAGAATCTGATAGCTGAGATTTTTTATATCATAACTAACCTGCTCTGTCTAGTCTGTCGGTCTCCGTGTCCTTTTCTGATGTGTGGCGTGAGAGCGTGTGAAAAGTGTCGATTGCGTGAGAGTTGGCGGCTCTGAATGGCGCTAGCTTGGTCAAATTAATTCAAACGAAAAATAAAAATGTAATATGAACAAAAAGAAAATCGTAAAACTTCAAAGAATAGCCTTGGCTTTTATTTTTCCATATCGTCGAAATGCACCACACTGTAAAAAATAAAACGTAAATTTTACGGTAAAAAAACGGCAGCTGTGGTTGACACAACTTTACCGTTAAAAATATGGTAGGAACGTTTATGGTTTTACAGACTTAACTTAAAATTTACAGTAATGAACCGTATTTTATTTTCTGATAAAATGATGATTTACTAACTTATTGATATACCATTGTAATACACTGACAACCATCATCACAGCAGTGATGAGAGTTACTTGAGCAATCACAGCTCATCATAAGTGATATATTTATGTAATACTTATATAAAGAAGCTGCACAGTGTCATTCACACAAACATTAAACACCATCACGGTAACACACATGAAATTAAAAAATGCAATAAACATTAATTTAAAAACATTAAATGTAACATAAAACCCTAATGTACATAACTGATTAGAAAAAAAAACAATACAACTATGAGGAACTATTTATTTCAACAAAAATACATCAAATGTGAAGTGTCACACAGGGAATTGTGGGAATGTCAATTTACGGTTTTTCATTGTAAATTATACAACGATTTGTTCTTTTTCACTTTCAAAAACTGTAAATTTAACGGTATTTTACTGTAAAATTATATCACAGTTCTTTACCGTGTATAGTACGGAAACTTTTTTTACCAAAACTTGTTTACCAATTAACAGTTTTGCACTGTAGCATTTTTACAGTCTTTTACTGTTAAAATCATGGTATTTTTTACTTGTATTTAAGACGGGCGTCTATGTAATTTAGTGTTGAGATGTTGTTCATTGAGTCTCTAATGTCTGAAAATCTCCAAATGCTCCACGTGAAACTGCGGTCTTCCTATCGTGTCAATTGATTTGATTAATATGCGCGAGGGAGAGAAAGCTAAACAGCGCTCGCGTGTGTTGTTTAAAGACGTGAGATTGCGCGCGGCCGCGGCATGACTCATTTACTGGAGGTATACTGCCCCCATCTGGTGTGGAATATGGAGTCTGATTTGATTTTTTTGACCGATTGCAGTGCACAGCCAATGCGCACTTATTAAAGTTTCTCTCTCTTAGCATCACAAAACTTAGTTAACAAATAAAATATACGGGAAAAGGGTAGAGCACGTTTAGCATCTCCAACTACCCCATCATGAGTGACGTAACCATCTCTCTTTCTTTCCATTTTTATTCATCTTATATCACTTTACTGAGTTTCCCAAATTAATCTGGAGGATTAACATCAAGTTTAAAGCTTAGATCCCAGAAACAAATGAGCCTGAATTTCGTGTCACCGACTAAATCCCCATAAACAAATTCTGCAAAACACACACTCCTCTGTTTGAGTGAGAAAACCGAGCTCTCTATTCATCGCTGATTCACGAAATTGATCAAGAGTGACAGTGAAGACGTTTATAACGTTTAAGACTCTGTTTCAAATAAATACGCTCTTTTGAACTTTCTCTTCATCATTGAAACCTGTGAACAGACACTGTATCACATTTCTAGCAGGAAAAGCATTTTAATAGTAATCAGAAAAATCAGCATATGAAGAGTTCAGATGCGAAAGCCTCTAAGTGCCATTTGAAATGATCATTTTTATCAAGCTTGTATATTTAAGTTCAGTGATTTCACTTAAATGGCAATGATAATTACCTATTAATTGTTATTTAAGTGAAATTACTGAACAAGTTTGATAAAAATCATTATTAAAGAAGAAAATTTCAAACTCTTCATATTGACTAGAAGGTAAATCATTATAATCATGTTACACTGAAAACTAATATAATAATATAGTACTCATGCAGCCTTGGAGAACATTCAGAAACAAAATAATCAGACAAAAAAGTAAAATGACTTAATGATTTAAAAAGTGAAATGATTTAAATGTTGGTAGATTTCTTTTAGGATTTGGGTCATGTTATATAATGTAAAGATGTTAATATAGTGTCAGTGGGTTTGATCTGGTTGGGATCCTGATGTGATTTGAATGTTATTTTCAATGTAAAACACGAGTGTGTGTCACTATCAAACACACTATCAAAAGAGCACGACAGACTCATCAAACTGAGCTGGAGTCGAAGCTTTCGGAGCAGATCATTGGTCATGAGGAACGCTGTGATCTTTGTGCTGTTGTCAGGTGAGTTTGGAAACACTGCTTCTTTAAAGGGCACCTATTATGGAAAATTCACTTTTCATGTCATGAAACACGGTAGACTTTGCATGAGTTTCAACTGTGCTTTACTGAACACTTCCTTGATCGTATGCACATACATAATGATCAATAAGAAAGCTTGTTTCTAACTCAAATACTATACATCACATCTCAAAAACATCAACTTTTATTTTATACATTTTTTTAACAAAATTAAAACACAAATTCAGGCACACTATTGTGAATATCATAGACAAACTCATGGATGTTCCTGCGAAGTTCTCCATGGTCACATAGAATGACCTCGGCTGTTCAGCTTGACGACTTACGATCTATTTTGTTGTCCACTTCTCCATCCAACTCGAGGCACACAGAGTCTATGGGCCAGTTGTTCAATGGTAAGCTGATCGGATTTTGGTTATCGGATTAAAAATGGGTTGTTCAAAAGGGAAAGAAGGAATCTGAAATCAGATTAGATCAGGGAATCCAATCCTAGTTTTAATCTGGATCAAACCTTGTTTGTGTTGTTCAAAACTTGTCAGTGGGATTTGGATTATCCTGATCCCAACAGGGGAGGTGGATTTCAGGAAGGAAATGTAGTAAAACTTTGTATCATTTAGTGTATATACTTTTATTTTTATTTTGCACTTGACTTATGTAACCGTTGTAACAGTAATAAAGTAACAATTAAGCTTTTCAGTAAAGTAAAGTAAAAATAAAATAAAAATTATTTTTTCCACGCGTTTTTCCACACTCCTGGCGTATGTTTTCAATTGTTCTCAATGGGAGCGCTGCGTTTTTACCAACCACCAGCGTTTTTACTGGTCGCTGGGAGTTGAAAAATGTTCAACTTTGGATAAAACGCAGCGCTCATCACTGTCACATTTTACCCAGCCGTCCAATCACAGTGGAGGAGGGGCGGGACTAAACCACACCGACCAACTGTCACAACATTCAAACTGCACAGGGCCTAAATTAGCGATATTTCCAGCTTAGGCCCCGCCCATTTTAGGTGCACTCAGTTGATTGGTCGCGCGTTCAGAGGCGCTAGGCAATTGGATGCGCATTTGCCGCAGTACAGCCAATGAGAGAGCTAGACGCTCTGCTGCTGTGTTTCACTGCGTTTTAAATTAAAGCTTCAATGTTTAGAGGAAACAGAGTTTCCCCGCTGCATATTAGCTACGCTACGCAATACTTGTTCCCTACTCTAGGTGTTATGTTAGTTAATAAACATACAATTGGGCTACATACAATTATATTGAGAACGTTATAATTGTGTGTTTGGGACGTGGCTGTTAATGACGAGTCTTATGTTTTTCAATCAATCAATCAAAACTTTATTACAGACTCAAAGTCCATTTTTAAAAAAGAAATAGAAAAACAAATAAACAAAAAACAACAACAAAAAAAAAATTAGCCTGATTTTTGTTATCAGGCTCTCAAATATTATGTAAAAATGTGGATTTACCGGTATTGGACAACATTTTCAGATCAATGCATTCCACAAGAAACAACTGATTATTAGTTTTTACTGTGTGTAATACTTATGGACATAAACACTGCAGTTAGAATTGTTATAGTAAAGGTTTTAATAACTCTTGCTTGTGTTTCAGCACTGACGCCCGTGGCGTTCTCCCAGCTCCATGACTTCATCTTCGTGCCTCTGAATGTGAGCTGGTCCGAGGCTCAGGCCTTCTGCAGAGAGCATTACACTGATCTCGCCACCGTCGATGACAAGGAGGACAATGACAATCTGTTGAATGTCATGGCAAACGTATCAAGTGCTTGGATCGGACTCCATCGGACTTCGTCAGCATCTCCTTTAATCTGGTCGGATCAGAGCGGATCCACGTTTTCAGACTGGGCTGCTGGCCAACCCAACAATTACGCTGGTATACAGTGGTGTGTTAATATTTTATATAACAAATGGAGCGACCAGGAATGCTTTATCAAAGTTCCTTTTGTGTGTTATTTTGGTGAGTTGCTCCTCTTAACACACGTTCACAAAAATGTTTTCCTTTAAAAGAAAGTAAGCGTTACATCTAGTTTTTTTAGCCTCACACATGCAGATATCTAATAAAAATGGTCCTATATTTAGATTTGAGCTGGGTTTTTTTTTGCCATTTATTAGTAGCAAGTTTGATTATGTTATTAATATTTGTTACTCTTTAATTGTTGTGTTTATTTTGGTATATTGGTGTAACTTTTGTAATGGGACTCTAATTTTGAAGTTGTATCGGGACTCTTATTTTGAAGCTGTGTGGAAGAAAATTATTAAACAAGTGTGGACGTCTCAACGTGTAAAACTGTCTTATGTCGTTGATACAATGTGGTTATGATAAGAGAAGTAAGCTTAGTTTAAGTCAATAATTGCGAACAATTAAGATAGCCACTACAAACAGCCTTTGTAGTTTTATTTCTTCCAACTAACATTCAATAACTGTTGTGTCTCGTTGTATATTGTGTAATAGATGTACTGACGCAGATGGTTTCATTGTCTGTTTCTGACGCGTGCTTATTTTTTGAATTTATTGAAAATTATGACCCCTTTCTTTCACCTTTATTCTGAGACAATATTTGCCTCAGTATACGCTAGTTTTAAATAAAATAGATAAACTATTATTCAGGTTTTTAAATGAATAAAAATAAATATAAGTTATAGTCAATCAGTTTATTCCTAAAATAACATATTTAAATGTTTTTTCCATGCCTTAAAATATCTTGAATGTAACTCGACACCTTTGCCTCATTTAGTGTACGCAGTTCTATGAATATGCAAATGAGCCCCGCCTCCACTCCCTCACTCAGCTCGGGTGACGATCATAAACATTTAGACAAACATCATATGACATATAGGCTAAACAACATTAAAAACTTGATTTTCACCACAAGGCCTGTTTTTAATTTCATAATTGTCATAATTGAGAGTTATTTATGTTAACGCGAATCCATTAAATAATTTATTTTTCCTGAAATAGCTGAAAATGTGTTCAGCAACTGATTAACATTAAGCCTCAAACATTGTGGATGTTTAGAATCAGATATAATGACAAATTCCTAACGATCCACAACAAAAACTATAAAACATGTTCATCATCGTTCGTTATGACTTCATCAGTGTGTTCGTCCCACAGGGAAGAGGAGACAGATCGTGAGACTGGAGATGAAATCAGGTCAAGATCTGAACGATCCGGAAGTGAAGAAAGAGATTTTAGCGAAGGTGAGTCCTCTTGTAATTCCACTAGGAAAAGACAGCAGAACTATATCATTCAAATGTTCTTCAGATGGAGCAGATCCTGAAGGAGAAGGGGATGTCAGGAGAAGCTCAACTTTCATGGAGAACCCAATCCGATGGGAATGTCTTCCAGACGAAGGACCCGAAGAAGAGTGACGCCCCTAAACAGAATTGTTAGTTGGAGAGTTGGCAGCCCTGTGTTCAAGCTTTTATTTAATCTTGTTAGTTATTTACTGGGCAAATGCTAAACAGGAGAAGACGTCTATCACTATTTATTTTATTTGTTTAAGTATGAACTCTTCTGTTTTTATTATTCTTTTGTTCAGGGTTGTTTTCATGAGTAATCAAGTAGAAAAGCTAGAATCCTTTATTGTGCATTGTTATCAGAAGTGTGTCTGTGATATTATCTGTGCTAATAAATACCGTTAAAAACACAAAAAATCATTGTTGATCTTCATATCTATATATTACATTATTATATACACACTAACACGTCAGTTGAGCTTCTATCAAACATTTCAAAGTCAATTATGAGATCGTGTAAAAATTATGACATAGGCCTATATACATTGTGTTGGCGCTTCTACTACAAAGCAGTGGAGTTTTAAGCAGAAAATACTCAGCAATGCTGTCGACTTATGAGTTTGTCTTAAAGCGTATATTAAAACACCACATAGACACATAAACAACATTAAAAACCGTATTTTCACCACAGGGATACACTGTGTGATTTTTATCCCATCTAGTGGTGAAAAGGTATTTGACATCTAGTAAATATTATTTCTGTTCTTCTCAATTCCGATTTCGTTTTAACTCCTACGGTGGCCAATGTAGTCCAAGATTAACATGGCTTCCAGTGCGACTGTTAACTCAAACGTAAACATTATACTGACATATAGTTCTGTGTCCCTGAATCCTGGTATGACTCCTAGGTTTGAGGTACTCCGCGGTATTAGACAAGGGTGCCCGATTTCTCCCAAACTGTTTATCCTAGCCACCCAATCACTTATAATGCTCATTAATCATAACCCCCATTTGCAAGGAATCTCAATATTTGACAAGGAATTTAAAATTAGTCAATTTGCAGATGACACTGCAATCCTTTTAAGGAATAAATCCATGGTTGATGTTGCCCTTGATTCAGTTTCGATCTTCTCTAAAGCATCAGGATTGACTTTTGAATATTGAAAAATGTGAGCATTCACTCATCAACAGACTCCATCATCTCTTCAATCAAGGTCAAATCTGAAGTGAAATATCTAGGAATAGTATTATCTAAAAATGCTATCAGAAGGGAAGATGTAAATTTCTCTAACCGATTATTAGATGCGAAGAAAGCTTTGAGTCGCTGGCTTACCAGAGACCTCACTATCTTTGGCAGAGTTACTCTATCTAAAACAGAAGGTATTTCAAAAGTAATTTATCCATGTCATTCCTTGTATGTTTCATCTGGCAATGTTAAGAAAGCCAACTCAATCATTTTCCAATTCCTGTGGAAAAATAAAACTCACTATATTAAGAAATCGCAGCTTGTTAAAGAGTATGACATGGGTGGGATTAAAGCTTTGGATTTTGAAGCAATGTTCGGGACCTTCAAGATTAACTGGTTAAAAACATTTCTGTCGCAACCAGATTCTATGTGGTTTCACATACCCAGACATCTATTTAAAAAAGTAGGAGGGCTTGATTTTCTTTTGCAATGTGATTTTGAGGTGACCAAAATTCCTGTTAAATTATCAAACTTCCACAAACAAATTCTCCAATTTATGATATTCGCCCATAACTTTTCTCCGCATGGATCCACCTTATGGAACAATAGGGTTATTATTATTAATAATAGGAAATCATTGTTCTGGCATGATTGGTATGAAAAGGGCATTGTGTTTGTGAATGATGTTATAGATGACAATGGTAATTTTTTGGAATATAAGTCTTTCTTAGACAAATATAATTTAAACTGTACAAATAGAGACTACAATAAGATCTGTAAAGCAATACCGGTACCTTTATTACTGTCAATTCAAAGCACACTGTTATATACCAATATAACTCAAACAAACAACTCAAACGTAAACGCGAAAGGCAAAGCTTGAATTAACGGGTATGTCCCTCTTTGGCTAATGTACTTTCAAGATGGAGGGGCAACATGGCGACCGACCGACATTAGAACCCCCGTATGTATTTTCAATGACATTATATACTCACGAGAATACTTTATTACTTGAACGAAGTAAATATACATTAATGAGCACATATATTTTTGAAATAACTAAGTGTTTTTAGCTAAGAATAAACTAGAGTTACACAGTGTAGCAAAGTATAGCCAAAATCTAATGTCATAGATTAACCACTAGAGGGGGTGATACTAAGACATTAGTAGTGATTGATAGTCTTCAATATAGTCAGAAAATATAGTCAGAAATATCAAAGGCAGAAGCAAAGAAATCAAACAAATGTGACACAACAGCTCATCTAGCTTTATCAATGTCATTTTTTTTTATCCTATATTAATGATATTCCAAATCTGTAGGCCTATGACTTTCCTGCTTTCGTGGATAATAACAAGATATTGTGAATATTGGTAACCAAACATTTTTGGTTCCCATCACTGCCATTGTATTTTGTTGTCCACACGATGAACAATAAATGGGATCCGAATCTGTTCAGTTATTCAAGTCATACAGTTTTGGAACAACATTGATGTTATTATTATCATCAGTATTACTTATATGTTGAACTCATTAAAATATAATTAGCATTGCAATCATTAATTTATTGTGATGTTTACCAAATTAAACTAAGCTTTAATCTCAACTTGTTCTGCACCGCCTTTGCACACACCTTTCCGTTACAAATTTTGCACTTCAAAACACACTGCACATAATATACTTTTTATTATGTAGCCTAATACATAATAAACTTGACTTGACGAGCAAAATAACTGTGGCAGGCTATTCAAAATGAACAAATCAAAAATACAAGTAATTTTAGCAGTTACATTAAAATATCAGTTTTATTGAAAAGTAAAATGAAGAAACATTGTTTATACTTTATTTTACGGTGTCATATACATTTAAGTACTGAGAGATATGTTGCATTTACGATAGGATTGGTTAGTGCATACTTTACTGTTAAGTAGCCTACAGTAACAAGGACACTGTAAACTAAAGTGTTACCGACACATTTTCAGGAAAATGCAATTATTTTTCATTTTTACATCATCATGCACCTTCATATTATTTATACTCATTAATAAATGATGTATGCAGCCAGCAGCAGTGTTGTGATGAGAGGTGACCTTTGGGTTCGGCTGTGTGCCGTCACTCCTGCCGGAGAACCGGTTCGTCCAGTTCAAAAAACAAAAAATGGAACCGCAAACTATTTGGAGAACTCGAGTGACGGAGAGCAGAATCGAGGAGAGCAGCGGAGCGCAGGTACGATACTCTAATCCGGGCTTATAAATGGTTAAAAGGGTGTTTTATACATGTGTTCAAACGTTTTTATGATGTGTTGAGAACACGACAGCCTCATAGAGTCACATATAGGTTTATTTAACGAAAACTGAGTAATGTCTAATTCTATTCAGTTCTGGGTTACACTTTATTTTAAGCTGTCAAGTACAGTGTGAATAAATATTTAAGTAATATCAATTAGCAACATGTACTTACTAGGATTAGCGTTCGCTGCATGTAATTAGCCTAATTTACTGGTATTATTATGGATAGCCAACTATTATGTAACAAGGTTGCTGTAACAGTAAAATGAAGTGTTGCCCAGTTCTCTCACATGAAAACATGCAGGATAAGAATGCTTTATTTTGCTCTGTCATGTTCTTCTGTTAAACCTCGTCTGACACATCAAACTAGTGTCTAAAATCATTTATCATTTCTCTATATTGATATTTGAAGGATTAAACACATAAGTCCCCACATAACAAAAATACGGTCTTATATTCTGCTCATGTTATGGTCAAAACTTCATATATAATGGGAACATTCCATTGTATCATTCTTCAAACATTATGGAAACGTTCCATTTTTTAAAATTTATTTATTATTTTTTATTTTATTGAGAAATAAATCCAAGTAGGCTACAAAATACAGGAATGCTATGACAGATATCACATATATTGACAGATACCACATATATTGAAACATGTTTAAACAAATAAACAGGGATAATAAAAACAAAGGAGAGGAAGAAAAAAATAAAAAACAATAAAAACTAAATAGGCTAAATATACATTTAAAAAAAAGCTCAATATTTCTTTCTTTTCCTATAGACACTTTTAATGTTCATATAATTTGGTAAACTAAGTAGGGGCATTAATTACAATACGAAGAATTCCTCCATGAAGTTTAACTATGGAAACGTTCAATTTTAACGTTCTAGAACGAGCCGTGACGTGTCACTGACGTCAAGATCACTTTCTATTTACGTATTAACGGTTTTTTTATTATTATTCGATGCACTGTACGTTCATGCCAAATAAAGTAATAAGTGTAAACATGTAAATAATGCTCTAGACAGGGATCATGATGAGCTTGTCTGCGAGTTACAGCGGAAATAAAGGCCGTGTTTATGGAAAACAGTTTCGTATGAAAAGCCCAAATATGCAAACTAATGTGACACTCAGAAGAGGTTTGCTCGATGAAGCGTTCTGGTAATACTGTATTTCCTATTTTCACATGCTTTTGTTTTCTTGACTCATGCTTGTGTGTGTGTGTGTGTGTGGTAAGATCTCATTCAGGAATAATCACACACACACCGGGTCTTTTGTTAGTGGTTGACTCATGCCGTATTGTGACTGTGTGTGACTCTGTAAGTCAGAGGAGAGTCTGATCCCAGATCAGAAACACTCGTTTTGTTTTCAGTTTGTTTTTCGTACAATGTTTCTTGTTTCCAGCATAATCTGTGTTGAGATTTATGCTCTTATACACACTTACTGTTCATAAGTTTGGTGATTTTTCTAATGTGTCTGAAAGAGTCTCTTCTGCAGCATAAAAACAGTAAAACAGTTCAATATTAAAAGAATCGGTTCTCTATGTGAATATATATGTAAAGTGTAATATATTTCAGCAGTCACATGACCCTTCAGATATCTCTCTAATATGTTTCAAAAGCAGCTTTACAGTGATAACAGGGAAATAATACAACAGTTTCTTGTGTGTGTGTGTGTGTGTGTGTGTGTAGCCGCATGATGTCATCGTCAGTTCAGCTCTCAAATAATTGAGGCAGATCAATAATGTTGAATATTAAGTGTGCGTGTGTGTGTAATTGGGTGTTTCTGCTTAGGCAACAGACATTTCGTTACACAGGTGTGTGTGTGGGGGAAATATTCGCTGTATCCAGTTCATCCTGTTCACATAAATTGACTTTGAACGTGACATCAGAAGCTTTTGTCTTTTTGGTCAGACACTCTGAATACACACGCCTCGGTTTTTTATTTATTTCTTAACTGTGTTTTCATGTATTTGTGTTTATCTTGTGAGGAATAAGATGTGATGTCTGCTAATGGTGTTATATTGAACTTCTCAGATGAACTTCATTTGCATGTGTGTGTTTGAGCCACACACACAGCGTATAAATAGGAAGAAGCACAGGTGTACTTTATCTCAGATCTGATTTGGCAGTGAAATGACATGTTTCTCATTGTGTTTCATTGTCGTCACTCAGAGCCGGTTCCATCACACAAAGGTTCTTCAGTGCCGTTGATGCTTTCATTACACAAAAGGTTGTTATTGGCAGAATAATGTTCTGTAGATTATTAAAATATACTTCAGAGTAAGAGAAATGGTTCTTTTAAACTCTTAAAAAATAACCGTGATTTTAACGGTAAAAGACTGTAAAAATGCTACAGTGCAAAACTGTTAATTGGTTAACAGAAAGTTTCCGTACTATACACGGTAAATAACTGTGATATAATTTTACAGTAAAATACTGTTAAATTTACAGTTTTTGAACGTGAAAAAGAACAACTCATTGTATAATTTACAGTGAAAAACCGTAAATTGACATTCCCACAATTCCCTGTGTGACACTTCACATTTGATGTATTTTTGTTGAAATAACTATAGTTCCTCATAGTTTTACTGTTTTTTTTCTAATCAGTTATGTACATTAGGGTTTTATGTTACATTTGATGTTGTTAAATTAATGTTTATTGCATTTTTTTAATTTCATGTGTGTTACCATGATGGTGCTTAATGTTTGTGTGAATGACACTGTGCCGCTTCTATAAATATTACTTAAATAAGTCACTTATGATGAGCTGTGATTGCTCAAGTAACTCTCATCACTGCTGTGATGATTGTTGCTTGTCAGTGTATTACATACGTCAATAAGTTGGTAAATCAACATTTTAACAGAAAATAAAACATGGTTTATTACTGTAAATTTTAACTTAAGTCTGTAAAACCATTAACGTTTCTATCGTATTTTTAACTGTAAAGTTCTGGCAACCACAGCTGCCGTTTTTTTACCGTCAAATTTACGGTTTATTTTTTACAGTGTAGGTTCAATTTGACCCGTCTTCAGTCTTCCACTGCCTTACACGGCTTGTTTCTTCTGTCTTCATCTGTACTTCTGGGGTTCTGCCCACCAGAGCCTTGCTTTTGATTTCAAAATGGCGGCTGCGTGACATCAGCAAATAGGGGTCGATTTGACCCGCAACACTGTGGATTTTTACCCATTTTTTGAGCACGACAATCCAAAATGGTTCTTATATTGCTCCAAAAACCGGTTATTCTTTTTATTGTTTTGACGTGTTTGTCCCGCTGATCTTCTTGTACCATTGTGTTCTTCAAGGACAGATGTAATGGCTCACCAATCCAGAAGCGGAGCTGGATTCACTTCAAAAGACCAACGAGTACCTTTCGAAAACCTCTGAAAACATTCGTCTGCTCTCAAACCCTCAGACTTTAAACGACGTGAGTTTTTACCCCTCTTCGGTAGACATTATTTATGTGTGTGTATTGAGTGTCCTCAATGAAGAACACATCAATCAGGCTCTTCTTGGCATCACTGTACAAAACGATCGTGATTTTAACGGTAAAATACCGTAAAAATGCTACAGTGAAAAACTGTGTTGGAAAGTTTCCGTATTACTGAATATTCCGTGATAGATCTAACCATACATTTAATGTAATTTTACTTATTTTTGGAAGGGAAAAATAACTATTTAAACTCGTAAATTGACATTTATTTTTGTTGAAATAACTGTTTCTAAATTTAATGTTGTTAAATTAATGTTTATTGCATTTTCTAAATTTCACGTGTGTTACCATGATGGTGTTTAGTGTGTGTGTGAATGACTGATCTCATGAAGTAGCGTGTGTATGACACGCCAATTCGTATTTACGTTTTTGGCGCGCTATCAACACGCATAATCGCGTTTTTAAGAACGCCGTTGTATGAACGCTCGGACATTTGATGGCGTGTATAGACACTCGGACATTAATGGCGTAGACATACACGCGGAAACACGCGGATAGCTCAAAATGCGTAGAGATAACACGCCACTTGACTCGAAAGTGGCGTGTATGTTTACGCAAAAGTCATGATGTCATGTTGCCATGCAGCTTATATTAACTATCTTGTGAAAAGCAGTGTGTGATGAGCTTTGATTCACCATGTGACTCTCATCTCCACTCTGATTGGTGGTTGTCATTGTTACAATGGTACAAAACAAATTAACACACAAAGAATTCGGTAAATCAACATAATATCAGTTTTTAATCTGTAACTTTATGTCTGTAAAACCTAAAGTGTTGCTACCGTATTTTTTTTTTACCGTAAATTTTAAACAGTGTACGTAAATAGCGGCACAAATAGTCCCCCGGACGTAATGCTGGACAACACGAAGACTTACGTCGAACTGGGTGTCGCCAAGCTGGAGAACGTCCCCGAAGCCCTGAAACCTCGCCAGTCGCGCCTCGGAGGCGGTCGAGATCCCGATGAGGAGAGCTCCACAAACGCACTCAACACAAGCACTTCTTCCTCTCCAAACGCCTCAGAAAGTGCCGAACCCGACGTCATCGACAGGAGATTTAGTTTGGCGACCGTCTCGGAGACGTCCAGGACTTCCAATGCCACCGTCGAGGGTTCTCAAAGCTCTCGGAGCAGGTTCCTCGTGGGTCCCGCCGACGCCGACGAGCTGCAGGAATCCCAGCGGAGCTGCGGGTGTGTGGTGTCGTTCCCGTACTGTCTGGAGGAGACGCCGCTAATGGTGTCGGGACTGCTCCTGACGGTCCTCTTCTGCGTGACCATCATCGTCATCATCCCGTCCACCGGCAGGGTAAGAGCTGTTACCCAAGACCAGACACGATTAAAGGTGCTGTGTGTAAGAATGACAGCTAGTGGTCGAAATCGGTACTGCAGTTGAAATCTCACGCGGGTTGCTAGTTTGAGGAAACGCAGGAGGAATGAGTAAATTGACATTGAAAGCTAATGAGATAATGAGTTGATTTAATTTGTTCTCGTTCATAGAGCTTTTTAGACGGATATCGAGGCTTTTCATAGACATATACACTAGACCTCACCTTGGCTACGGCAGTTCATTGGAACGAATGCGTCAATAGAGCCGCCATCTTGAAACAGGGGAGCCCCTCCACTTTAATGCATCAGCATCAATGTAGTAGACACAGGTCTAACGCAAATAAAATCACCATAAATCGTCATGAATGCGATTTTTCTTGTTTTTTTGGTTTGTTCCAACGGTCAGACATGTATTTATCATTGATTACAGAAAGAATTATTTTTTTATTTTTTAAAAAAAACAACATTCTTCCTAGTTCAGATTTCATCCGTGAACATCATACGCTGCACAAAAGTCCGCCACCATCAATGAATTCGAAGTAAGCAGCGTTACCTAGCTACTTCCTATTACAAGACCCCTGTTCCAAGATGGCGGCGGTTTTGACGCATGCTTAGAACCCCAAGGTGAGGTCTAGTGTATATGTCTATGGAGGCTTTTTAGGTTGTGTGGAATCTGCTATCTCTGACCCGGTTTGTTTGCTCGTTTCCATGGCTGCGTTACGCTGCCAACCGGAGTGTCGAAATACTATTGGCTGAACTGGAAGTGGGCGGAGTCACACAGACCAAAACAAAAGTTACATACAGCACCTTTAATTAAGACCCGGAGTCAGAAGTGCACTCACTGAAAAGATCATTTCAGTAATCACACTGGTAACTTAAAGCAAAATCTCATTAGCCGAGAGAAGTCATTTAACTGATTCGTTGATTATAATCACTCATTAGATATATGGTTTGTGTGTTTGTCTCTCGCCCCCGCAGAACCTGGTCACTCACGTGGCGGCGTTCGCAGTGGTGTGTGTGGTGGTGTGTGTCTGCGTGGCTCTTCTGGCGTGTTTGCCGTGTTTGCCGGTGCTTCGGCGGGGAGAAACGCCACTCGCGCTTTTCATCTGGTCTCTGCTCCTCATCATCGCCTTCGTGTTCGTCTTCACCGGAGGAGTCGTCACCCCCTGGGACCAGGTCGGAGGTCACTTATTATGGGTTTTGCACACTATTATGCCTTTTTTAAGCCAGAAATATCCTTTATGCAAATCATTTTCATTTGAAATAACATTTTCGTTATTTTATAGTAGAGCCAGACCGATTTATCGGCAGACCGATATTATCGGCCGATATTAGGCATTTCCCAAACTATCGGTATCGGCAGTTATAATGGCCGATAAATGAATATTTCAAAAATAAAATAAAAAAAACGTTGTTACTGTGTAGTTGACTGACTGTCTTTTTAACTTTTGACAATGTGACTTAAGTATTTATTTAATAGCACATGACAGTTATAAAATGTATTATCATATTATTTTAGTAATTAATAACTAATGTTAGGGAAATCTGTTAATGTTTTGTTGCGCGTTTCAAAAAAAAAATTAAAATATCGGCCGATATATCGGAATATCAGATTTTAAAACCAACAAATATTTGTATCGGTATCGGCCTTCAAAATTTTTTATCGGTCGGGCTCTATTTTATAGTGTGCTTTTGTCATATATAATTATTTAATTATATATATATATATATATTATTAAGTTAATTTTATTACTATATATATTCATTCCATTTTCATTGTAGTTAAAATTGTAGTAACTTTATTGTTTTGTCATTTTTATTATTTTTTAATGTATATAGTTTTTATTAATATTTAGTTTTTTTTTCAGTTTGTGTGCTATTGCCATTTTTATTAGTTTGTTTAATGTCTGTAGTTATCAAAATAATAATGGAGCCACAGAATCATATTTCTTTGCCGACTTTATCATCTTTGCTGCTGCATTTTGTATTTTCTGTAAACGCAAAAGTGCTCGAGCATCAACTCCGTAGTAAAGCGAATTACAATAATCCAGTCTAGTGAAGACAATGGACGTAATTGCTTTCTGAAAATCTGAACTATACAGAAACAGTTTAGTCATAGCAAACAGATGTAGATTAAGAAAACAACACCTCACCGCAGAACTAATTTGCTTTAAATCACTATCCAGAACGAATCCCACATTTTTCACACTAGACTTAATAAAACCAGTTGCATTCAAGCACTCAAACACATCATGTTTTTTAGAGCCAAACGCAATAACCTCCGTTTTATTTTCATTAAACTTCAAGAAATTTGCAGCCATCCAGTCCTTGACATCGTTTAAGCATGCTAGTAAAGCGTCAAGTGAAGAAAAGACACTTTATGTTTCCGATAAATAGCCCCCAATGGCAGCATATAGAGGGAAAAAAGAATAGGATCAAGAACGGACCCCTGTGGGACTCCCCGAGGAGGAGAACATTTAAACCCTTCGAGAACATCACCTTTTAGACCCAGCCAATGTGCTGAGCGATTCATTCAAATCTCATGATCCACCATATCAACGCAGAATTAAAATAACTCTTTCTCCATTATCCAGTGAAACAGAAACGTCATTCAACACTCAAAGCCCGACTGAAAGCGTTCTCTAATTCAATTTGCAGTAATATGTGCTTGTAGCTGCTTAAATACCACTTTTTCTAAAACCTTTGCTAAAAAAGGCAAGTCTAAAATGATTAAGATCCTCTATTGCCAAATTAAGGCCTCTTTGGTAATGGAAGAACTGTAGCATACTTGAAGTGCCCTGACTGAGGCAGTGGGTATGAGGTCCAGCTACACTAGTGAAGATCATCACATGACACACTTGAAGGTTAATAACAGTGAGTTCACTCCGTTCCCACAAGGACGGAGACACCTGTAATTCAGGATTATAGAGTGTATACCAACAATTTTATCATTAAAACATTTTGAAAACTCTTCACAATTCAAGATAGAAGGATCTGGATACCTAGTTGACCTAGCTTAATTAATTACCTTAAGATAATTAACGTGTTGAGTTATAACATCCGAGCAATACTTATGTTTAGCATCTCTAGAGGCCTACCGGAAAGTTTTTAACGTTTGTCATTTACGTTTTCATTTCAATTTGAGTTAAAGGAGTAGTTCACTTTTGAAAAAACTTTTGCAGATAATTTACTCACCCCCATGTCATCCAAGATGTCCATGTCTTTCTTTCTTCAGTCGAAAAGAAATTAAGGTTTTTTGATGAAAACATTCCAGGATTTTTCTCCATATAATGGACTTCAATGGGGTCCAAACGGTTCAAGGTCCAAAAGACAGTTTCAGTGCAAACTGTTCAAATGTCTTTAAACGACACCAGACGATGAATAAGGGTCTTATCATGCGAAACGATCGGTTATTTCAAAGCTTATTCCAAAAATGTAACTTTTCTAAGGACAAATGCTAGCCTTGCTCTATTCTGTCAGGCGCGTTTGCAACGTCACGTAATACGTAATTACGTTCAAAAGGTCACGGGCGACGTAGCTGGAAGTACAGAATCAAAATCGTCCGACATCATTGTTTTACCTTTTATTTCCTTTTTTTGTAAACGGCGTTTGAGTTAGTTTCCACGTTCAACCGATGCGTTCAACTTGTAAACACTGACTCTGTACTTCCGGCTACGTCGCCCGTGGCCTAGGGTTAATAGCTGAATTAATTATCTTAAAGGGATACTCCACTTTTTTTGGAAATAGGCTCATTTTACAACTCCCCCAGAGTTAAACTGTTGAGTTTTACCGTTATTGAATCAATTCAGCCGATCTCCGATTCTGGCGGTACCACTTTTAGCATAGCTTAGCATACATCATTAAAGTGGACAAGACCATTAGCATTTCTCCAAAAAAAAAAAAAAAAAAAAATGACGAAACTTGACTTTTCTGTAGATCAGGGGAGTGAGGTTTACTTGCACAGCAACTACCAGCTGGCCTCCCTTACATATGGCTAGGAACTACACTCCTTTTCCTGCGTAATAATCAAGAAAGTTTACTGCTGTACCATGAGTG